ATGTAAAGTAAAGCTAAAGGTACCCCTGACTGTTAGGTCCAGTCGTGGACGACTCTGGGGTTGCGCACTCATCTCGCTCTATAGGCCGAGGTAGCCGGCGTTTGTCCACAGACAGCTTCCGGGTCATGTGGCCATCATGACTAAGCCACTTCTGGCTAACCAGAGCAGTGCACAGAAACGCCGTTTACCTTCCCGCCAGAGAAGTACATATTTATCTACTTGCACTTTGACATGCTTTCAAACTGCTAGGTGGGCAGGAGCTGGGACTGAACAACAGGAGCTCACCCCATCACGGGGATTTGAACCGCCAACCTCCTGATAGGCAAGCCCTAGGCCCCACGTCCCCCTGCTGTGATGTACTCCCCATTAACTCCCATTACCCCCACACACCCCTGAACATGCAGCCACTGTGCCCATGATATATCAAATTGAGGCTAGCATCTGTTTTGCACTATAGGGTGAGTGAACAGTTTTCTAACCATTGAGAATTGTGAGCCTTCACATAAAGCATGGGAGGTCATCATTTTAGGAGCAAAAACCTGATTCCAAAAGTCTCATTAGCCACTGTTTGAACAAGGATGCTGGGTGGACTTTTGGTCTGATCCAGCAAGGCCCTCTTTATGGTTCTTGTTATGTAGTTCTCATAGCCAAGTGGAACATCAAGATTTAGTGGTGGTAAACCCATGAATACCCCTTACTATTGCACAAACCAAAGGGGGCTCCCTGTTCTAGAATTTGACTAGAAGTCTGTTTTGTATTATGCCATCTCCTACTACACTGCTAAATTCATGAATAGGAGCTTTCTTCATGATGGAAATAGCAGACATATAGAGCTTGATCCTGATCAAGACCACATATTGGGGAAAGATAAAGCACTCATCTCCCCCTGGCCAGCATGGTCTCAACCCAGATTCAACCTCCCGCACACACTATTTAAAAACAAACAAATATTCACACACTTGTTAATTAGGCAATTAATGCCACCTCTGTTTTGGCTCTCACAAAGCCATGCTCACTTGCAGAAGAAACTGTGCTCTAACATCCCATTTGTATCTAGTTTAAAATAAGTTAAAACACAATTAAAATTGTGTTATCTGCAGAGCTCCAGAGTCAGCTGCCTGACCTATTGCCATGTTAACCAGGTCTCCTATTTGTATCCAAGGATGACTGTTTGAGTCCCCTCCCACAATTTATACATTACTGAAGTATTTACTCAACTAGTGGTAAACACACTATTTCAAAAGCCAAGAAAGTATTTGTACTTTGTATTCGTACTTTACGTTATGCTAGAAAAATGTAATTGTTCTGACAATCTGTTCAAAGTGAGTTCCATCAACATATAAAATAGTAGGTTGTGGCAGCACCTTAACATATGTGAAGTATGTCTGCATTTGCATTCAAGACACGATACATCGATCCTACCCTCACTTGGTTCCAAACTAGGTAAGATTGAACATAGCACTGCCTATCTAGATTCTGAAAGCAGAGCCTTTACAGTGGTAGCCTGATATCTTTGGCAGACTTTCCCCAAATAAATATATATGATCCCATCTTTGTCAGGGTGGGGTTCTTTCTTTCTTTCTTTTGAAACAGATCTTTAAAATATTTTTTGTTTCTGCATTTTATTTTGACTATTATGAGGTAGGCTTTAAAGGACTTTTTCTTGCTCCAGCTTTAGTCTTTTATTAGATTTTCTTACCCCCAAATGTGTTGGTTTTTAATTGTGCTTTGTAAGCTGCAAGGGGGTGGGGGCCCTGAAAGGTACAGCTTTTAAATAAATGAAAAAGCTATCTCTTTTTCAAACCACATGCTAACTAAGCCATTCTTTTTCATTGTCCATTTTCTCCCTTTACCACTCTTGCCACTAGCAGCACATTCAGTCACACAATGTAGAAGCACATTTCCTCAATGGAGTAAGTGTCCAGGACCACATGACACCTCCATTACTCTGGCTGATTTATAGGTCTTACTTTGCTGACACGCCAAACTTTAAACTTAAAGAGTTTCCACTTCTAAGAGACCAGCTGCATATGCTTTCTTCTTCCACCTTGTCTCGCAAATTATGGACTATTTTATTTACACATATCAAGTCCTTCAAATGCTTTTACATATTCTAAATTCACCACAGCCATCTGGATTTTAGAGTTAAGTGTGGTTAAGTAATATTCCAATCTTTAATTCATTATATAACCAAAACTCAATGCATTTCAAAAGGATTCTCACTGATTACAGGGCTGCTAGTTAATACTTGTATTGTCTGATAGAAAAGGACAAGCAGTACTAGTGTCAACCCCAAGTGGAATATTTTTATCAATTAAATGCAACATGATCTGTTCCAGACCACAGCTCAAATTGTGGAAGGGAAAGGCCTTGGGTCAAATGCACAAAACCTACCCTAAGACTCCACCCCAAAATTTTGAGAACAATCCTTCTTCTCAAAACAGGGGCTAAGGAAACAATAATAAAAACTAAACGGGGCAAGTTCCCTCAGAGGCTGCTTCATGCTTGCTTGAAGGACAAACAACACCCAGTTGATGAGCCCATCAGTAAACTGATTCTACAGTCTGGCATTAGCACCTATAGTTGCTTCTCGCTTTCAGGTTTTAAGCACTATAAACTTGAATCATGCGTAATTTTCTCACCCAACTGAACTGTGATTCAGTTTACAGTCTTCAAAATAAATAAATAAAGTCCCTTGTTTTCCTTGTAATGAAAAGGAAATATATTGCTATGCAAAGGACATTAGCAGTTCTGATCTAAACCTGGATCAAACAGAAAGAAAAGGAAAGCACTGGAAAGATATAAAAGGTTAGGGAAAGTTATTTTAAAAAGTATTTAGGGCCATTCTATTTTTGAGACAGTGACTGGCAAGGAAGGAAATGTATTGTGCTACACTGTGCGCCATAACAAAAGTGGTACCTTCCAGTAAGGGCTTCACATTCAGACATACACAAATTTGTATATTAGTATCCAAGTCCAGCAGAGAACTGTTAAAGTTAGTGTCCAACCACTCTGTTTCTTAAAGTTTTTCTTTACATTGCTAATGAAACTGTGCACACATTTTAACATACTATTGTTGGACACCAACCCAATATCCGAGCAGTGTGACATTCCAGGAGTTCCAGACCCTTACCCAGGATTCATGTTTCTTTTTGGGAATGAGGCACAGCAGAGACTGTGGTGCCTTTATGATATAAGGTTTATTTACACATATATACAACCTGTGATGGAGGGAATCACAGCTTCAACACCCCAAAAGCCGCAGCCTTAGATTCAGACAGAAATCAAACATTGCTCTTAAATGTTGCTCTGATGCTCTCTCCAACTTGCTGCTTTACTTCCAGCTCATATCACTGCAACTCAACTCCAAACTCTGGCTTCGTCCTTCTAATTAGCATGAGCTAAGGGAATGGCTCCACCCATTTGCAGTCTCACACAGAGCCTCTTACCTTTGTTTCTATTAATGACCCATCACCTCAACACAGGAAGCTAGCACTTGCTGGATCTGGGGGTTTGAAGGGTCTCACATATATCTTACTTCCTCCCCAATTCTTTTTTAACTCTTGTTAAATTTGATAGAGCTTTCAGGAGCAGCTGCTCCAGAAATTATATCTGAACCATAGACCACCAGCTGGTATCCCTACTCTAGACATGTAGCCAACGTGAACAAGGACTGCAAAACACACAATGCAGAGGACTCAGCCACATCTCTTGCTAGTCCCTTGCTATATTCAGTAACTATGTTTAATAATAGCAATCTAAAAGCAGCAGCAACCACAAATCAGGGTCTCAATACTATGAAAAAAGAACATCAATCCTTGATTCTGGTCAATACTAACTGGAATCTGGGGAAGGATAAGGGAATGCACACATGCACACACACCAAGACAGTCATGCTGAGGCATGGACTTCTCTGGATAATGAAGTCTCTCTGCTCATGCACGGATAAATAACCTCCCCTTTCTCTGCTCCCCTCTAAGATTTAATCCCAATCTGGGAGAAATAATCCCTCTCCCTTCCAGCTATTCGCTCTCTCACAGCTACTGCTTTAGCTGATCATTCTTTAGAACTGTCAGTAGTTCCAAGTAGTGAATCTCACACTTAAACAACGACAAATTAAAACCTAGTTCTCTTGCAGCTGGAAGAAAGCAGGGCTAATATTAAAATGATGCTATTCAAAATGTGAACATGAGAGCAAGCAGAAGCTAAAACCATTACATCAGGACTGCCATAGTCCATTATCTAAACAGTTCTGTTTTGCAAATAGTTGGAGAGCTCGTTGATCCACAAAATGAAATTAAATATGAAGAACACGGGTCCTGACATGCTCAATGCAAGACAGTTTTTAGAAAATGTAGATAGATGTAGATAAATGTAGATGTAGAGGAACATTTTCCAAGCAGAGAAGGTAAAAACACCCAACAGCAGCAGCAGCAGCAACAACAACAACACACTAGTGGGTGGCCTGAAGGTCTCCTCCCTGACTGATAGAAAGTGCTTTCCTCCAAGGGGAAAGAATCCAGGAAAGCAAGGAAGGTGATGGGGGCAGGGAGAGAGAAACTAAGGTGGTCATGTCCTGACAAGGCTGAAGAGAAATGCTTTAACAGATCCTTAAAACAAAGGATGGAATCCTAGCAGAGAAAAGGAGGAACAAGGAAAACAAAAGGATTCGTCACTGCTTTTGCAGGAACTGCAGCAGCAGATATCCTGATGTGGAGTATTCTTTTCCCTGGGCTTATATAGTTGAATTCACTTAAGTTAAATGACGTGACCCCACAATACAGTGGTACCTCGGGTTACATATGCTTCAGGTTACAGATGCTTCAGGTTACAGATTCCGCTAACCCAGAAATAATACCTCAGGTTAAGAACTTTGCTTCAGGATGAGAACAGAAATCGTGCAGCAGCAGCACAGCAGCAGCGGGAGTCCCCATTAGCTATAGTGGTGCTTCAGGTTAAAAACAGTTTCAGGTTAAGAATGGACCTCCGGAACGAATTAAGTTCTTAACCCGAGGTACCACTGTATTACAATTTTCCTTGATGGAGAAAACAATTGCATGTGAAGCAGCTTTAAGCTGGGTTGGTCAGCAAGAGACAACAATCATGAGCAAACTAGCACATTAGGTGTAGAAAGTATAATTAACAAAAGGCAACATGGAAGGCAAAAACTCTTATGGAAGGTACAAAATGCAAAGAAGTATTACAAAAAGACAACTGAACATTTTTGCACTGCAGACCTTTGAATCAGGTGTGAAGGAACCTTTGGCTCTCTAGATCTTGCTGAACTATAACTCCCATCCTTCCTGGCCATTGAATATACTTGCTGGAGCTGATGGGAACTGCACTTCAGCAAAAACTCGGAGGGAGGGCAACGGTTTCCCCACACCTTCTCTAAATTAATCGAAAGGTATGTCAAAATAAGGTGCATCACTATTCCATCTAATTAGTGAGAGTATGGTAGGAAATGAGATAACTTTCTAAATCAATTATTCAGATATACCTACGACAGTACTGCATATAGATGTTCTTTTGATTTCTAAGGCAACCTACTAAGAAATAGCAGTAGGAAGGCCGTAGCTATACCAGCAGGCACTGCTGCTTTCACAGTTGCTTTCTGGAGTGCCAGGCATATTCAAAGCAAAAATAAACACAGTCTTCAAAGCAGCAGGAATCTCTGACATGTATTGTCACAGTCTGTTACTCAGGGAGACAACTTGGTCTTTGCCAGGTGATCCATTTTTTAAAAATCTTTCCACAGAAAAACAGTTTCATACAATAACTGAAGAGTAAAAGTACTCCAGGGGCTTTTCTGTTTCTAAAAATGCACACACAGGGCAGTGATACACAAGATGTCAACTGTGGGTTATTCAGATCCCAAAGAGTAAGTTTACTATATGCTTGGATTTATATGTTCACAAAAAATAAAGCAATAGTTACAAATTGGTTCTGTGTCGTTTTCTCAAACACAGATTACAGTATGAAATATGACAGGCTATATTTATATCACAATCACACACCCACATACAGTGCAAACAAGAGTAAAAACACTTGTAGTTATCCCTTTAGATATGGTCACACCTAAAGATTAATACTACTTATAGAATTATAACAATCTGTTCAAGCATTCTACTTTTAAGGGCTGTATGTGTTTTCCAGTATCTAGTACACTTGGCAGGTGTATGTTTTTGACTGAACAGGATCCATTACTGCCTTTTGTTTATTTATTTAAGTAAACAGTTTGAAGGTATTGTGGCATGGTCAAATTTTAGGCAATTGTTTTGCAAAACCAAAGCCCAAAGCTTGGCTTCCTTATTTAATTATGTTCTCTGCCAGGAGGTGGACACTAAAATAGTAATTATTTGGTAATAATTAAAGAAGAAGAAAAAAGCAGCAGTGTTATAAGAGCATTTAATATTGTGAAAGTATCAATCTTTAGAATTTATTATAAAATGCTAATCTAATTAGGAATATAGACAGTGCCAAATTTAATCAGAACAACCTATTCTGTCTAAGAGAATCACTGATAATGGCAAGCAGCCTTTGATTTATTAGAAGACAAAATTCTTTGAATACCTGTCTAGCTTGTTTTCTTGTTTGCCTAAGAAGAGCCCAAGCAACACCAACATTTTGATCAAGGTTTGTAATTTTAGACTGGCCTTGCTAGTCAAGCCAATGGGAAATTTTGTTTTGCTACAGCTGGCTTTATTAGTGCATGGATAACTTGGGTTGTATTATGATATATCTTAATATTTCATCATGAAATATGCCTTCATGGTGTTTTAACTCCTAAAGGTGGCCTACGTATGTTCTAAATAAATGCCCTTACAGGGCTGTACCCAACAAAAAAGCAATTTGAATTTTCATCACAGCTACTGATATGTAAACAATAAGTACATATTTTTCTACAATGCAGAAGCTTGCCTCCATTGAGTGGCACTGCATTCACTTGACTCTTGGTCAGAGATTCCATACATAACCATTTTTTCTACATGGAATTAACATCCTTTCAGTACACCTAGCAACAGCAGGTGGTGAAGGGTGAGAGTTCACATGAGCTCACCTATGTCTATTTTCTATAGCAAATGCAGAAGCTGATATAGAAAAGTGGATCTTTCCATGGAAAATAGATGCAACTCATCTAACATTAAAATTTTTATGCATAGAAAGCAAGATCAGATGCATCCCTCGGTTTGGAAAGTGTTTGGTATTTTGAAAAGCTGCTAGATCCTCTTGATTTTCAAGTGCTAAAATCTCAAAGGTGAAGTTAACACTTGGCTCTTGATTAGAAGCCCTCCTCCAGTTCAGATTTTTTTTTAAAATGCAAAAAGTTTGTTTATTTGCCACCATCTTACCTAATGGAAAATAAAGTCCTATTGCCGAGAAACTGTTAGTCATTGAGGATTAATGATCTGAAGACTTTCTCATCCTCTTTCTCTATCAAATCCTCAGCACAGCTCTTTGACTTGTTTGGGTATCTTGTATTGTAAAGTGTAACCATTTTATTACATACAAGGAGAACTTTTCCCTCAAGGAGCAACTACTCTATGGTCATTTGACATAATAGAATCATGTTTTGTTTTTCCCCAAAACAGTGTTTTGTAGAGAATCAAGACTAGTAGTCTTTGCATACTTGGAAGGTGCCAATTCACAGAAATAAGAGAGAAATGTCAAGATCAAAGAAAGAGTTTTCAGGGGGAGCAGTGGGGAGGGAGGTCTGAGTGATCAAAGAAGTGGTGTGATGCACACTGGAAGTAAAAGGGATCCCACCTCCTCATATTAATTGACTTGACAGGGGCATGTAAAACATACTCAATGAGTAAAACATAGACGACTCATAAACTAAAAAGGGATCCTCAGCTTCACTCTATCCAAGAATCCAGAAACAGGACTGACTAGATCTGAAGATGTTTTGGTTTTAAGTTGCTTTCTGTTTTTTGTTTGCTTTCTTTGGCCAATGGAAAATAAATAAATAAAATAATTAAATCAAGATAGACAAGCTATTATTTTCCCACTCCTCTAAGTGTATTGAGAAATCAAAGCACAGATGTTCCAACCTTACTTTACAATGTAGCTTATGCATGGCTATTTCATGCAAGATATGAATAGAGATGCATATTTCAATGTGCACTGTCTGAATGCAATGCAGATAGAGAGCACCCCAGTAAGATGTGCATTCCCACACATATTTGCAACATCCTACTTATATCATAGTTCCCAATTCAGCAGCTGATATAATGCACAGAAAACGTAAACAATTATTCTCTTACAAACAAGCAGCATATAAATTTTGTTAAATAAAATATTGTTATATGGATGCAAACTGAATGCTGATTTGCTTCCCTGACAAAGAAGCTATTGATTGTAGATGTGTAGACACATTTGTCACATTTACTGTTCCCTGCCCTTTCAAAAGGTTCTTTTCCTAGGCCAGAAGAAGCAGTCCAACACACCTAAATCTCCAAGCCTTTGAAGAACAGGCAAAGCTTCCATGTTAAAGTGGCAGTGTTCCTTTTTTTATCAGGGAAAAAGAAGGCCAAACTGCAATCAGAGTAATGGATGCAACAATGCTATGATAGTTCAGACTGGAGGAGTTGCATGCACAGCCATGACAGTGTTGCAAAACTCTTTCCAGTGGTACACTAAGTGCTCAATCTTGGCTGCCTCACTTGACCTTTAAAAGACTGAAACAGATGTTGCAATTCTATCATGTGGCCTTACCTGGCATAAGGCTCTGTACTTCAGAAAGTTTGGTGTCATCTGAAGTAAGAAGAACAATCTCTGATGAGGAAAAAAACCACCCTATTCTGGATTAATAAGTGTACATAAGTTTGGAGCCGTAGCCCAATAAAACTAAAAAATATACAGGAAGGTGACATGGAAGTAAAACTGTATTGGTGTGCTTTAGTGTTGGGGCATGCGCAGAGTGCCCATCCTAATGCCAGCGGAGTGTGCCAAAATAACAGAGAAACACCCATTATAGGAAGAGTCAGTTGCTTTACTGACAGTATAATACAGTTTCAGTTACATATAGCTGTAGATACAGTCTTCCCAGCAGCATAGATTATGCTCTGGCCAAGGGCGGGAGCCAAGAGCAAACTTGCCTTAAATGCAACAGAATTTATACTGAGAGCCAGTGTGCTATTGTGGTTAGAGTGCTGGACTAGGACTTGGGAGACCAGGGTTCAAATTCCCACTTGGCCATGAAGCTCATTGGGTGACCTTGGGCCAGTCACTTTCTCTCAGCCCTACCTAACTCACAGGGTTGTTGTGGGGATCAAATGGGGGGTGGGGAGAGAAGCATGTATGCCACCTTAAATTCACTGGAGAAAAGGTGGGATATAAATGAAATAAATACATAATCTGAACCTTTAAAAAACCTGTAGCTTGTGCTGAGTCATTCTCACATATTTAACAAGCTGCAGGTGCAGGACAAAACACACCCAAATTAAACAGCACATTGAAATTAACCCTTTCTTGTCCTTTTTCTTTGCATGCATAAATCCTTATACATTAACATGTGCTGTAGAGGTTAGATTGTTGGACTAAGACCTGGGAGAAAAAAGGGTTTGGATCCTCACTTGGGAGAACCATGTACATCACCACGAGCTCCTTTGAAGAAATGTGGAATATAAATAAAATAAATATTCCATTGGTGCAGGGGTAACTTCAACCATTCCAGTACAACCTTTTTTGGTGGTGATGGTCCAGTACAGGCATCTCCAAACCCGGCCTCCAGATGTTTTGGGACTACAACTCCCATCATCCATAGCTAACAGGACCAGTGGTCAGGGATGATGGGAATTGTAGTCCCAAAACATATGGAGGGCCTAGTTTGGGGGTGCCTGGTCCAGTATATGGGCATGGTTGAAGTTAGCCTAATTACGTCCATGGTCACTTCATAAATAACTTCCATCTGATCCCATCTGATCATGGGTGTCTATACCACCATTAGTATTGTTATAATAAAGAATGATCTCTGGATTGGATTTCTGATTTGAGATGCGATTGCTGTATCATTATGAATTGAAGAAAGAAGAATGCAGTCAAGTTACGGAAATAAATAATTTGTCTTTTATGAAAACAGATGAACTATTGCTTTTTCACCCTCTATATTCCTTTCTCATGGGTGCATCAAAAGCACTTCTAGACATGATATTTTAACAGCATTAGGCAGGTTCAATTTAACGCCTATCACATTACAAATATCATTTTTTTGTTCTTATCCCAACAGGTATAGATTTGACCCCCCCCCAAAAAAAATTATAAGAATAAAACCACAGATTTTCACTAAATTACATGGTACTTTACACCATATCATGGTTAAGGACTACCTGTAGTATGGAGTAGTAGAAGACTGACAAAAAGCATCATGAATTTTCTTCATGATACATATGACCCCCACCCCATGTCAACATGGTGGAGTCATGGCAAACAGGGTTTGACTTTGTTTATTTATTAAACAGTGTATTATAGATAACATACTAGTATAGTATCATTTGGATCACAAAAGAAAAATAGTTGTACTACAACTACCGAAGTCTTATAATTAGAAATCCATTCGGCTATCAAACAACAGTTCTGATTCATACACCAATCTGTCACCAGGGAAATCATTATCTACTAACATTAAATATCAATATATGTCAATTACAACAACTAACTCCATTTTTTGTAGCAACCAATATCTCCTGCAATGTTCAGTAAACAAAATCCTATCTACAACCCTTTTTGTTACTTTTTAATTGGATAGAGAAATCTGTTGCCTGTCCTTACACTACATTATGCAGTGGAACAAGTGATATAACACTTTGTTTTAGTAATAGCCATATCCTCAACCTACACCTTGTTCTGGCAAATAACCCACCTTTCAGCACACAGATGAACAGCAGGCACCTATGGAGTCTAAATAGTAAAGGCAACACAAGGGGAATCTGATGTAGCATTTTCAAAAACCTTTTAGTATTCTGTGGCAGTTGTGACCTGGTAAAATCTAATTATTTCTCTAGGGCCCTTTGGAATTGTTCAAGAAGATTTGTTACAGTTTCTAGCTGATGCATTAAGCACTTGGCTAAGCTTCACAGACTAAGATAGCTGAATGTGCATTCTACATATCTTTTATGAACTTTCCACTGCTACATGTAGAGGTATAACATGCACTACTACAACATGTTGATTTCAGTGGACTAAACTTCAGAGATTTTTAAAAAAAGTGGGGGAGGAAGGTTTTTGCAGAACAAATAAATGCCTCAAACAACTACTGAACAATATTCTGCACTGAACTTCCATTAATCCAAAACACAGACATGTAATCTGTCTGCTCCTTTAAGCAAACGTATAATGACACTCTAGAAAAGACAAGGGTTAAATGTTTCCACCTTTTTTATCCCCCAGTTTCTTAGATTCCTAATGATTTCCATAGCCATGGAGCTTTAAATGACTAGATCTCTTGTGAACTTAATTAAGCTTGGCCTTTCTGTCTTCAGATCTCAACAAAAAGTGCAATCAATTAACAAAGGAGATCGGCACAGAGTTCTTATGTGCTTACTGTGTGGGACATCTTTGGAAGAAAAGGCTAAGGAGTAAACCCTACACAAATCACAAGTAGAGCCCTTAAGGTGGGAGGGTGGTGTTTTGTATGCCTCCTTCCAGCAACTCCAAGCTGATGCCAAATGTATTGCTTTCCTTTGGACCACATGAGTGAGGCCAAGAGGCAGGTTGTGTCATCTGGGCAGCCCAGGACTTCCATACACAATGGCCTGGATTGCATCCCAGAGAGGTCAATCTGATAGCATCCAGTCTCGTTGTTGAGCACACTGTGCTTGCTCTACCACAGAAGTACAGAGATAAAGAAAATGGATCTAATGAAGAAAATGCAACTAAATGCTTGACATAGTCTACAACTGAATGGATTCTGAGGCAACTCATATACTGGAAGGAAACACAGACATTGGGAAATGCCAATTGCAGGAACCAAACTCCAGTTAATAAACAACTAGTGAAAGACAGCTAAATTGCAATGTAAGATACCAAGTATATTCAAATATGCTTGTGAGATAGCACAAATAAATAAATGAGATAACAGACATGAGTATCTGCAATGGTTTATCTCCCTCCACCCCCAGTTTCCTAACACACAATTTGTAATCTGCAGTCTCCTCATTCCAAGGAACAGCACTGGCTTCTAGGGTGTAAGCATATAGTATTGATGCCTGCCACCACCCAAATAAGCTATGTGTAACACTGACACACATCTTATTACCAGGAAATAGAATTAAAATTACTGATTCACAATTCCTAAAACTAACTTTCTCCCAATAATCTCTGAGGCAGTTTTCTACTTTTTTTTATAATAAGAACAAAAACAAAACAGCCTTGCAAGAAACTCTACCCCTTTGCTACAGTTGAAGGTAAATACTGAATATTAACACTTCTAAATTATCTAGCCTTACCATTATGAGCATTAAAATAACACATTTTGTTTTTTTGTTAAAAATGTCTCCAAAAAGGGATTATCACCAGAGGAGTTATTTAAAAGTTTTTGCTGAGGACCCTCTAGTAGTAGTTTAATTATGGTTGGTCCTCCAACTTTTAACTTAAAGCATTAGCTAGGTCCATGTAAGGATCAAATAATGAATGTATTGTCAATACATTTCACTGTGGCAATTCCCAACTATTTTAAGTGAAAACTGTAAAAGTTGCACAAATGTATTAAAGCTGCATATCTGCATGCTGACGGAAAAAAATACTCGATTTGGAGATGACTGAAATGTTTTTGGCACGTATCTAAAGCTGGTGAACTGTAATATAGCACAGCTCTGGTTTTGGCATGCAATCCTGGATTTTCCTTCTCCGGCGCCCTCTGGTGTCTGTAATGTAATCTTTTGACAGCCTGCTTATCCAGTTGCCTGACTGAAGCAGAGCCAAAGACCTGCCCATTTATGACATCACCTCTTTATTCAACCACTGTTAGGTGAAAGCTTTAACTTCAGACTTCGGAGGTGGGCTGTGTGCACGTAACTGGAATGCTTCCCCCCTCACTCCTTCTCAGTGAGGGAGAAGTGATTTGACATAGCGAGAGCTCATACAATAGCTGCTGCTGCTGTTGCTGCTGCTTCTTTTTGTCTGTGGAATCTGAAACTGAGGGTTTTATAACCATTACTGGAATTATTGCTATTGTGCAGTTATAAATGGAATTTCTTTATAGATATATATTTTCTACTTCATCCTACTGGTAAGTAATTCCTTCTAATTTGCACTCAAGTTTGATTTTTCCCACCCAGGCATTATAAAATTCAGCATAGCAGGAGGAGTTGGAAGGGAGATTGAAGAAAACTGCTTTTAAACTACAATGTTAAGCAAAAGTAGGACTTGCAACTGTATACAATTCAAGGTTTTTTACAGGGTGGGGTGAGGGGGGCTACGTGTCTGATGGTTGGAAACAATTGTTCAGTCTAGCTCTTTACAAGCGTTCCAATCTAAATCATCAAATGGAAGACTTTACAAATGTGTTTTAACTAAGTGGTACAGAGCACACCAAAATTCAAGCTGCATGTTTTCCAATGTGGCCAATGCTGTATATGTGGCATGTTCTCTCAATACTAGTTTCACAGCTATGGAAAGAGATAATCAAAAATTCATCACAGAAAATGAGTGCTCTGTCCAGGAGCAAATGTCTTCGTCTGCTTGGAGGAATTTTAAAAACTTTGGGAAAGGGTAAACAGCTACACCTAGGTTTTAAAGCCTGCATTACTGTTTCCCAAATCCGTAATGCTAAAGCCATATATTGCTTGATACAATTTAGCACGTAAGCCCACCACTCACACTCACCGTATGATATTCTTTCCTTAATGTATTGCAAAAGCCATTGCCTGATCAAATACAGTATGTGACGTGCATAATAAGCCAATAAATCTAGTCAGACAAATTAACAGACCTAAGCTTTTGAACAGAGGCTCATGCAAACAGTGGGACAGAAATTGCCATATTGAATTTTTAAAAGAATCATTTGTGGCTATATCAAACATGAAGTTTTTAGAATATCATAGTCCTCTGAAAATCTGTTGTCTCCACATGTTAAGCTCATGCTGCCTCCATATTTTAAGCTTGTCTGCAGCCATGTATTTTTTTTAACTACAGCATAAGTGAAACACTGCAATTGATATTTACAAGGAAACTCTAGGGTATGCATGTGAAACAAAATGGTTTCAAATAGTTTAAGAATGCAACAGGCCTGTCTCAAAAAGGATCAAGGTAAGCAAAACCTATCATAGCTGCATAACCCTAATTCCTAACAGAAACTGTAAAATTATCCATGTTGGTTGGTTAAGTTAGCATCCATAACATATCAGCCTATATCCCTTTTGATATACAATTAACTATTAAAAAGTTGTTAAACAAGGCCTAATGAACAAAATTAAATGAGTATCATTTTACACTGTGACTGTTGCATGTGCATGTAAATTGCTATTTTAGTTTATTTTTCTTCTGCAGTCTTTGCTTGGATCTGCCCAAGAGCTGTGGTTTACAAAAGTAATATGGAAAATGTATTAAAAACCAATAGAAAGCACGGTCCACTTAACAAAGCTTCATGCTTTGCATGTAATTTATCTTTCTTTTTTCAGTTTCAAAACCTAAAATTCAGTAAGCAATTTAAGAAGTGAATTACATGATTTATTTAAGCTGTAACTTTGAAACTGCAGGAATCACTACAGTCACAAAGTTGGAGGAAGTAATGCAAAGACAATTCACTGTTGTGCACAGAACTAAATGAATACTACAATCAGTGGGCATTTGCTAGAGAGAGAGAGAGAGAGAGAGAGAGAGGGAGGGAGGGAGGCAGAGAGGGGTAGAGGTAGAGATTAATTATCTACTTTTTTAAAAGAGTTTATAGAAAGGGACTGCCATGTATAAGCTGAAGCCTTACTTACACCAACTTGTTCCTATAAAATGTGAAATCACTGGACAATTAAAATTACTTCCACAATGGGATCACGCTAGGTAGTGTTGAGGATGAGGCATTCACAAGCTATTATTTTATAGTCAATTACAGTTCTTTCCTATCAAGTGAAACAAGTTGGGGAAAGTTTAATTGAAATTTAGGGTCTGTCAGGCTTTGGAAGATTATTATCACTTGCTCTGTTTCCTATGGGAGACTATACTCTCCAAGCAATAAGAAGTTCAAGCTATGTTTATAATACTACTTCTTATATACAGGAAGCTTTTACAAATTTATTATCTGGATTAAAACTGAAGAGTTTGAGGGAAAGCTACAGTTTGTGCCACTGAAGCCTGGCTGCACTGTATTTTTATTGTTAATGTTTATTTACCTATGTCTAGCGAGGTAAAGAAACATAATTTATGACATTTAATATACTAGATTTAAGTGCACAAGATTCCTAGGATTAGAATTTTAGTCTGACATCCAATTCTCTCCCAGTGACTGTTCAAATTTCCAGAATTATTTACCATTATAATTACCTTCCACTCAAAGTTTTTCCCCCAGCTCTATGTCTTTTCCTTTAAGTAGCTATGGCCACCTTCCTAGCATCAAACCGGATTTACATTACTGAAGAAAACTTCAAATGATATTAAGTTTTAGAGCTCATTCTCCTGGGCAAATGAATTTAATATTAATATTGCCATTAGAAGTATTGTAAATGCTTTTTGCACCCCACCCCCTTAGAATCCTTCAGTGTTCTCTCTCCAGAAGCGTTTGTGATTAAAACAGAGAAACTGGACAACAGCATTGGAGGGGAAAGGCAGACATGCAGCCGCTGAAAAGAGATTTCTTGCAGTGTGTGCTACCCCCCAGTGGGCAAAATTTCTACACTAAAGTCACAGAAATCTGAGCCTTGAGGGGGGAAAAAGAGTCCTGTCTTAAAGGAAAAAAAGTAATCTTTTTCTATATCTGTATTTATCTTTATTTGTATTTTTGTAAAAAAAAAATTGTTTTCTGAATTTGAAAGAGGCAAGATAGAGTATGAGTGTGTACTTTCTGTGTTATTTTTTAAAAGCTATATATAGATATAATGTGTATTAGGTGCCAACAATACATATTTCTCCTCTGGGTTGAAGGTGCAAATCCTGACGTTTATTTCAGTTGAATCAGGATGTGAGTTAATATTTATGACACCCCAATCACATGGAAATATGTTCAACTGATTTCAGTGGAATATGCTTACATCTAAGTGTGCTTAAGAATCATAAGTAAACAGACAAGAAATACATTGCAATGTTAAAAACTGATGTTAGCAAAACAAGGCAGTAATTTATTTTCAAATACCAGCATTAGAATAGTTCAATATAAATCTAGTAGTATTAAAGTAAAATACATCACTTGGAAGTGTAAAAGCAGTTCCTACCCAACAACACATAAGCTATCAGAAAGTAAGAAAGACAAAAAATATTAAAGTATGAGGTGTGCTTGAGCTTGAGGTGTGCCAAGAATTTTTAAGGCCTACTCCAAGTACCACTTTGGTAAAATATATGAAAGCAAAGATTGGTCCAAAATTTTTAAACAAGTCAAAGCAATTGTTCTCTAATTGTGACTAGGTGAGTTTAGCAGCTTTCTAAAGGTAAGCTACAAGCTACAGCTGGCAAACACTGCAATCCTAAATACAGTTACTTGGAGTTAAGTACCATTAAACTCAGAGGGACTTACTTACTGAGTAAAAATGCAGAGGCCAACACTGTAAGGCTGCATACCTAAACCTACTGATGTGCAAGCAAGCACCACTGAAATCAGTGGCTCTTCCTGCCAAATGAGGATGGCTAGGGCCAGGATTGCAAAGTGCTATTTACTGTTCCCTACTGCAATTTATGAACAAATAAGAGTTCATGCTTATCGGGAGGGGGTGGGCAGCTCATTACACTTCTTACATTTAAAAGTTACGGATCATCTATATCTTCTCAATGGGAGTTACTTTTTTTTAAGTTGTATTTTCATGGAATAAGCATAATCATATTTATGTTCGCCAGCAAATAATGGTGGCCTTCATATACACTACAAAAATGCAAATTTACTACCAGCTTTAGCATGGGAAAGGCTAAGATAAGTGATCATACCAACTCACATTAGTTTCGTTTTACAGAACGTTAATTTAAAACTTATGGGGAAACTGTTTACTCCAGTGATCGTGCTTAATGTAACGAATAACACTTGGAAATGATTTGCTATTTCAATGTGACACAATTGTTAAATATGGTTATTTCCATAAGCCAAAGAAAATGTTGCTAAAAGAAAGTAGAGACTCAGAAGCCCAACTTCTCAACAAAGCTTTACATTCTTTAGCCATCACAAGGATATTTTAAGCTTCTTCTGCTTGCCTAACTTTAAACAAAAGATGAGGGTCCCCATGCTCATGAAACAGGGTGCTTAGAAAATATTTTGCTGTCACTACTAACCAACCCTGAGTAGTACACCTAAGAAAACACGTTGCACACTTCATTTTCAATACAACTGAGTCATGTTTAACCAAATTAACATTATAACAAGCAAAGCTTATTGAAAATATCCCTGCTTTTGAATGGCTGATAGAAGTCCAAAGCAATAATCTCAACGCACTTGAGCACATTATATATAGGAGCAGACACTTTCTTCAATCCACAGAGGGCACTATGAAATAAATCAAATGGCTATGCAAAACCAAAATCGCTGAACAATCACTTTTGTACAGCAAAGCTGAATTAATTCTGGTTGTCACGCTGTTGACATTTATAGCCTAAAGAGATATATCTGAATCTTCAGAACACTGCTGTGGATAGTTGCTAGAATGAAAGCATAGCCTTTCACATCAGTGTATCATAAATGAAGACACAAATTCACATATTCTAACTACTTTTTTAAAGTTTTAGGATAGGCAGTTGACCCACATCGTAGCATAAAGTACTAAAATCAGAGTTTTGGTTATAAATAGCTTTATGTTACCTTTAATATTTAGAGTAAAAAGGCTCCTTTTGTGCAGTGCTGCCTTTGACACACTATAGTTTCTCAGGTCTGACTAGCTAAATGTTTTAATTACCAACTGATTGAACAAATAAATTGGGTACCACAGGAATTTATCACCACAGTTTTTCAAGCATGGTACTAATATATTGAGAAATGGTAGAGTTAAAAACTAGTACTGTACATCTTTCTGTTTTTAAAAAAATGTTTGTGCACCAGGATTTCTTCCATTTTCTTTTTGTTTTGTTCAAAATTAATGTTCTCTTTCAAAACCATGGGCCCATGAAGCTCACAATTTGATGTTGTGAAAACCTGGCCACAGTGTCTCTGAACAGTGGGGGGCATTTCTCTTTTCATCCTGCAAACTCAGCTATAATGACTTGATGTCAGGGAATATGTAAGGACAGCTCTAGAAAAGAGAAGGCTGAGCAAGGCAGCAGGATTCCCTTCTGTAGAGACAGATCATTGCTGCCTTTATTATGCAAACACATTGTTTTCAGCACTAGCTTGGAATATAAAAGCGAAGTGCAAGATATCAAATTAAATAAAAACTAAAGAAAACTGTTCCCTTCTGGCTGAAAGAAGGGGTAGGGGGGCTGGAAGCTTAATCCACATTTTTGAAACAGTCTTTTTTCCCCTCCAATGAAACTTGCTTTATTTTATCCTTTTGTTTTGATGTAATTTTGAGAGTAGGGATTTTAAAAACCCAAGAACTTAATGAGCTTTAGTGCTTTCATTTTAATCCAACATTGCTGCTAATACAATAGGGTCAATAAGTGATGGCTTGAATATCAAACAGTCCAAAAGGGAATGCATTTGAAACATTTGGTAAGTGAAATAAAAGTTTTCTATTCCCAGAAACAAGTACATTCTTTGCTCTAGGTAAGGTATCCAAACATGCTCTACAAGCAATTTAAGTTTGATATCCATTTCCCAAGAACAATACTACTTAAAATCCACTATCTTTAATTAATCACTTAGGTAGTTTAACATTTAATTCCTACACACATTATATGTCTTCTGCTAAATAAATTATTCTCTGTTACTTGAAACTACTTTCCTATTACTCAGTCTTACTATAAAAAAAACCTATAGTAATTCCTCCTTTGCTGGTTAACCAAAGTGGATTATGAAGTTCAAAAACAGATTATAAACTTTAGAACCTCATAGTATCCTCAGTATTTAGACAGCTGAACAAATAAGGCTACTTGCTAATTGAGCGATGTCTTCCAAGGTATTTATCAGGCTTCAGTTGTTGTTTTACATTTCATTTCAAGGTAATGGTGCTATGCAGTCTTAAGTCTTTTATCACTAATCACTTCAGAAAATTTCATTTTGTTTCAGTACCGTATTTTTAATATATTCATATCTCTTAAGAACTGATGATGATGACTGTTACATTCTGAAATCCATAGGTAAACACCAAATATTTAACCATGTTACATATCACAACAGAAACGCTTTACATTAATTTTGAACAAATGTCGCATTATACTTTGACTGGAATTACACTGTACCAATAGTCAATGGTGGCACAGGAAAGACAGTGTTTACACGACTGAGTTGCACAAGGTAGAAAAAGGAAACTGAACGTTTGTACTATTTCACATACACTGGAAATGTGTACATTACCTAGCAATAGTCTAACAGATGTTTTGGTGTGTACTAATGAGTACTTTAGAAACTCATTTCTAATTAGAACTGATACAATGTAAAAGGTGAAGCAGATTTTAGTGTGCATGGCAAACGTAAGGATGCACACACATTTTTAGTCCTGCTGTATTCAGTGTACTTATTAACATAGGAAGCCTTGCTACCCCCTCCTCCCCTCTTAAAGAGAGTTAGGTCAATGGCCCATCATCATCATCATCATCCTTTTTATTCGACCGTCAGTCAGAAAAAAGTACATTTTGTCAATACACAGTTAAAAACATCCAGGAAGATTTTAAAACTTTGCCAACACTAAAATGGGCTAAACAGATAGCCCCATAAGGTCAATGGCCCATCTACCTCAGTATCATCTATACTGCGGGTGAGGAACGTGTGAGGAACTACCACTCCAATAATCCCTGACCACTGGCCTTGCTGGTTAGGGCTGATGGGGGAGAAGTTCCTTACCCCATGGTCTATTCACTGGCAGTGGGACTGAACTTAGGGTTTTTCACATAGAAAATATATGCTCAGCTACTGAGCTACGCTACTTGCCCTTCTTAGAATTGCAGTCATATTTGCTGGGTTTAAATTTCCAGATGAGAAGGAAAGGTTACCCACATGCAGACATAAAAACCATTTAAATGACGTTTTACATTACAACATAGCATTCTTCTTGCTTGTGTAGAACAATCTAGCCTGGCAATGCATCAGTCTGCAGGACTGGTCCAAAAGGATCCTCGTATTGTCAAAATATAGTTAATACAATATTATAGTTTCAATTTTCAACCTAACTGTACACTTTAGAAATGTTCAGCACTGTAATTAACTACCTCCTCCTGGAGAATAAATTCAGAACTACAGTCACTAAGACAGACACCCGAGCATTAGAAATTGTTATTATACCTTTGCTGATTTACATTTTAAACTATCGGCAACTGTCTTGCTTCCTGAATGCAGAAGACCATGAACAGTAGTATGCATGCCATCCACTGCACCTAGGCCTCTATTTGTAATCTAAAGAGTCATGTGTCACATTTGCAAAGCAGTTTCTCTTTGGTCCGTTGATCAAAGCTGACTTCCATTGCTGTTTTGTTGAGACCAATTTCTTCCAATGCTGAACTTAGCTGTGTATCTGATTCAAGAACTTCAAATTTTTGCTCTATTAGTACTCCCATAATGAGGCTATATTATTGTAGAAATGCTAAGTCAAGAAAAGTTTGCACAAGGCAATTCATCATCACTTTTGGATAACAATTTGCTTTTTCCTTACTTTTACAGGCACCAACTGAATGAAATTTTAGAAAGGAAACCTTGTCACTGGTATTAGCATGTTTTGGTTTCCCCAAGAAAAGCCTGTGAATTAAAACAAAAACCATCTGAAGTGAGCACCTGGCATTTTCAGACAGAATGAGGAAATATGCTGAGCTGGAAATTCGGATCAAGCACTAAGTGAATGGTGTAGCCCAGCAGGCATGGATTTATCAGGACACATCAACATTCAAAGTTTATAGTTGGATGATTGTGGACAGAAAAAAAGAAGCTATCATGATTCAAGCCTTAACATCACGAATTGTTTTGAGCACATAGAGCTGAAGTTACCATCTCTAGCCACAACATTATGAAAAGAACTTCTAAGCATTTGAGAATTTTTTTGTTAAAGAAGTTGTTCACACACACTTGGGGGTAAAAGGAGAGAGAACCCTCTTCCCTCTTCTTCAAAGTCTCATTCCTGCAGAGTAACAGAAACTGAAGCTTTTATCTTCAACAGCCTGATGTGCTTATTTACCATGATGAAACTTTATTGGAATGTTCATTGAACATAGTGGAGCTCACCAGGAAAGATATTATACTCACAAGCATCATTTAAGTAAGTACTGTGAAGGAAATACAGCTGCGTGAACTAAACTATAAATTTCTCCAAGCCAACTTGGTTTCTAGAAAATCATATGCCAACTGGATTCTAGCAAGCACAAAAGGTTCCCTCGCATCTTTAAATAAGGTAGGTTCCATAACAAAATATTATTTTAGAAAGTGGAACAATTAAGATCCACTGGTCACGAAAGTAAACCATTGCAATGATCACATTCTACAAGTAAAAGAGAACTAAAAGTTAACAACACAGAAGCAAGCACTGCCAAAGAAATATTTTTTTAAATGGGTTAGTGGGTATGACCAATTAATTAAATAGGCAGTGGCAAAGCTAAGGAAACTATGCATCTTTAAAGTCTTGTCAAATATCAGGTATTGAAACATAGTATGTTTAATGAGTTACTCCTCCTAATTACCACAACCGGTATTGCTCCAACAGCAAGAGAAGTTTTTCATTGCACACCAGTTCATTTTGTTGGAAAACAAAATAGTTTCAAAAACTTGTTTTGTTTCTTTTTAATTTTACAGAGCAATAGGAAAAAATAATCCTTATGATATAAAATATAGATATTCCATACCTTATTTTATTTTATATGACTAAGGAAAATCATTAGTATCCTAAGGCTGCAATCCTATTCCCACCTACCTGGAATTTACCTGAGTATGCATGGTTAGGATTTCACCCTAACCCATGAAGTAATATACAAGCAATATTGAAATAACTGATTATATCACATGTTTCAAGAGGTTTGTGCAAACTTTCATGTCTCTAGTATTACTAAGCTGACAATTCTGTTTAAAATGAAAATTTTGTCACTATGCCATCTACTTGAGGCAGAAGAGAAATCTGTTCTATATTTAAGCTTCCACTTAGGTTTAACTCCTTTATTGTACTTCCAATGAAATAGTTGAAGACAGGGAACACATTTCATCACTGTTCATTATTAGTTACCATGCAGTGTGTCCTGTCTAATTATTCACTCAGTTTTCATACTTCAGAAAAAAACAGTGGTCTAAGGAGAGTTTGAATACTTAAACATGAATTTCAGTATCATAATGTGCTAAAGTAGTGAATTTAGGTAACATTGTGCCTGCATCTTATGAGTACAAGGCAACTACTCAAATTCAAACGATTGTGGGGTGAACTGTGTACATGCAGAAGGTTACTGAAGTTTCTTTTTTTAAAAAAAAGTTCCTATGCCAGCACAGCAAGCTATAATGTATAAGCAAGCAATCCCCATTTAACACACTATGACTTATCTTCAATTAAACATACATAGGACTATGCTGTTAGATATGTTGTTTTCATTTCAAAGTGATACTTCACTGTACTCTACTATTAATCTGATTTTTTCTCTCTAGATTGCTGAAAACCAAACACTAGTCTCTGGGCAAACCTCACTGCAACTTGACCATGATCAGTGCAACCTGGAATTTCATCCTAATTTGGACAAAGATAGGGCTTTTGCTCAAAATGGCACCTCACTCTGTCAGTGCCAAGTCCTGCCCTTCAGCATGCCGCTGTGATGCAGGATTCATTTACTGCAATGATCGCGACTTAACATCAATTCCTACTGGGATTCCAGAGGACGCTACAACCCTTTACCTTCAGAACAATCAAATCAATAATGCTGGAATTCCTTCTGAGCTAAAAACCTTGATCAAAGTGGAGAGAATTTATTTATACCACAACAGCTTGGATGAGTTCCCTACCAACCTCCCAAAGTACGTCAAAGAATTGCATTTGCAGGAAAATAACATAAGGACAATTACTTATGATTCACTTTCACAAATTCCTTATCTGGAAGAATTACATTTGGATGATAACTCTGTTTCTGCAGTTAGTATTGAAGATGGAGCATTCCGGGATAATATCTATCTTAGACTTCTTTTTCTTTCCCGAAATCACCTTAGCACCATTCCCTGGGGCTTGCCTAAAACAATAGAAGAACTGCGCTTGGATGATAATCGCATTTCCACAATTTCGGAGCTGTCCCTTCAAGACCTTACAAATCTAAAACGTCTAGTTTTAGATGGAAATCTCTTAAGCAATCATGGATTAGGCGAGAAAGTCTTTACGAATCTAGTCAATTTAACAGAACTCTCATTGGTCCGTAATTCCCTTACAGCAGCTCCAATAAATTTGCCAGGAACAAATCTGAGAAAGCTTTATCTACAAGAAAACCATATAAATCATGTATCAGCTAATGCTTTTGCGTACCTACGACAGTTGTATCGGCTAGATATGTCCAATAATAATCTCAGTAATTTACCTCAGGGTGTCTTTGATGACCTGGACAATATAACCCAATTGTTTCTTCGCAACAACCCTTGGCACTGCGGGTGCAAAATGAAATGGGTTCGTGACTGGTTGCAAATGCTGCCTCTCAGAGTTAATGTACGTGGACTGATGTGTCAAGCCCCAGAGAAAGTTCGTGGGATGGCTATCAAAGACCTCAATTCAGAGCTATTTGATTGCAAAGATGAGGATATTGTAAGCACTATCCAAATTACTGCTTCAGTACCAAACACTTTATACCCTGTGCAAGGACACTGGCCAGTTTCTGTGACCAAATCACCTGAAATGAAGACTCCTAATCCACATAAAAACTACAGAACAACCGCTACCCCAGTACAGGAAATCATTACCATTGTTGTAAAGGCTGTAAGCACCGAGACTATTCATATTTCTTGGAAAGTTGCACTACCCATGACTGCTTTAAGACTTAGTTGGCTCAAGATGGGTCATAGTCCTGCCTTTGGATCTATAACTGAAACCATTGTTACAGGAGACCGGAATGACTATTTGCTTACAGCACTTGAGCCAGACTCACCATACCGTGTATGCATGGTTCCCATGGAAACCAGTAACATCTATCTGTCTGATGAAACCCCTGTTTGTATAGAGACTGAAACTGCACCCCTTAAAATGTACAATCCTACAACCACCCTAAACCACGAACAAGAAAAAGAACCATACAAAAATTCTAGCTTGCCCTTGGCTGCCATCATAGGGGGTGCAGTGGCACTAGTAGCTATAGCTTTGCTGGCTTTAGTCTGCTGGTATGTCCATAGGAATGGGTCCTTGTTCTCGAGAAACTGTACGTACAGCAAAGGACGTAGGAGGAAAGATGATTATGCTGAAGCTGGAACAAAGAAGGACAATTCTATCTTAGAAATCAGGGAGACTTCTTTTCAGATGATATCTCTGAACAATGAACAAGTGTCCAAGGAGGAATTTGTAATACATACCATATTCCCACCTAATGGGATGAATCTATACAAAAACAACCACAGTGAAAGCAGCAGTAACAGAAGCTACAGAGACAGTGGTATACCTGATTCAGATCACTCACACTCATGATACTAAAGGAAATTAAAGACTTGTGGTGGCTTCTTTTTTCCCTTCTCACAAAGAATGGCAACTTGAAAAGGTTGCTGGCCTACTGCAGAACACTGGATTAAAAGACTGAATAAGCAATGTATTGTACATTTGCCATATAATTTATATTTAAGAACTTTTTATTAAAAGTTTCAAATTTCAGGTGACTGCTGCGATTAATGTAGCAAGGATGCCTGAAAACAATTCTATATTTTAGTATTTTTTAGTAATTTGTACTGTATTTTCCTTGCTAATATTGAAATTACAGACCATTTAACTTTTGTGTTCTACTGAGTAAGATGACTTGTTGACTGTGAAAGTGAATTTTCTTGCTGTGTTGAACAATCAGGACTTTGCATACATTTGAGATCCTTGTAAGTATAAGCACAGGCCATTTTCACCTTGGTATTCGTAAAAGGTTAAACCTGGCAAACTGAAAATGTTCAGAAGTGACTGCGAAATTGATCAAAATACAAACTTGGGTATATGAAATACATAAAACAACTAAAAACCTAATGTGAAAAGTAGTGGGCAATACCAGTTACTTAGCTATAACCAGATTTGTAAGTAAAAGGATACTGCAGCAGATAGCTGTTGTCTAGGTAGGGCAGATGAAACAAGAATAAAGCACATATTACTGTTCTAAATGCATAATAGCAGGGTCAGCTCTTATTTTTATGAAAAATAAAATCTAAGACTACCCTAAACATATAAATGTCCAAACCTAAATTTATTCATCATTCTATAAGAGAACGTTTATAATTGCTAACTGCAGTTCTTCTAATGTCATGAAAGCATATACTATATATGCAATTAAATGTATACTATACATATTTCAACTGCCATTGAGAATATTGCCCATTGCTATCACAGTTATCCGAATATTAACAAACACACAAGTGAAGATACTTTGATCTGGCTTTCTACTTAGTTGTGATCTATTTAATGTTTAATACCCAAGACATTTTGTTGCCATAACTATTATTCCCCAAATGAAAACCAAAGTGCATTGAACGCCCTTTGGCCAGTCTTGTATGTGCCTTGATCGAAAGTTATATGTGTTCCGCTTTTAACTGGGAACAAACTTTTCACACACATACACTTAATTATGGAAAGATATTGGTCTTAATGCTGAATAAAATATAAAATGAAGTATCATAAACTAAGTGCTCTTCTTAACCTCATTAGACAAACACACACACAGTGTTACACCAATTGAATATTTAGAATGTTTCTGCACTAACTCCATCTGGGAGGTAAAACCTGAATTTCTTCCTAGTTCAACCAAACATGATATGATATAACAAGTACTTTTCTCCTGCCACAGCTAAAATATTACAGAATAGAAGGAGTAAGTTAAAATTGATACAACTAGGTAATTTAAGTACAAGGAGACAGTTTTCTCAGGAATTCTTTTACTAGGGTGATGAATGGCTATAGATATGGGACAGCATTGATCTTGAAATTATTGAAATTGTTAACTGAATTATCTTCTACATTTACATGATGTTTCTGCAATGATTTTAAAGTGTGTGATTTGGGGGAGGTAAGACAACATGTCTGTATTTTTGGCAGAGCCAGGCCAGCCATAGAGGCAGACTGGGTAGTCTCCCAGGACAGCACATTTAAAGGAGGGCAAACCATGTCACAACAGCAGATTGACCCTGAGACCACATTATGTTTCTAGTATATCTGCATCCCAGCACGAACTGAAAGTCCACAATGAAGTCCTCCATAACATGGGAATCTAGGGAACATACTTGCTTCATGTGGAAAAGTCCTTGTCCTGCCTCTCCAAGGACAGAAATAAATTAAGATCTGGTCTGCCCCATTCCTGCAATTGTTCTACAAGTCTGGTTATACAGATATATTGTGCCAATAATCTGACTTCATATATTTTTGAGCTCTAATGCTTTAAAACCATTGCCTTAAAACACCAAATTGTTGTATTTCTAGTTGTTGTTAATGGATTGGACATGATAATTCTTACATCATCCACCTCACTTCATATATTACACAGACAGACAGACACGGACAGACAGACACGCGCGCGCTAAGGGTACTTTAAGCTATTGTTCATGGTAATTGATCTTTAATAGAAAAGTGCAGAGTATATATCATGCTGTGTACTCTTAGCTTAACTAAGTAAAGCTATGTTTCATCCCATTAGGATGAATTGTTGAAAGAAAACCATTATGACAAAATTTTAGTAGATAGGTTTACGTTTTTCTACAATTTCCTAGAGTCAAATAATTGGCAAAACAAAAATTGATTGCCAAATGCATGGCACAGCGATTGCATGTCCCATCAATCAGTCCCTAAAACCTTCCAAGTAGAGCCTGTATTTATGATGACACTACCTTATTCAGCTGCAAAAAAGGAACTAGTAGCTGAAGAGACCATCTGTAAGTGAGAGAAATGTCTCTCAAACATTTCTCTTTTCCACACATTAACAGACAGTAATCTTATTTCCATAAATCAATATCCACATATGGCAATAGTTAATGATGAAGTCTATTTGTCAATTTCTATATAATTAATTATAAAAAGAACATAATATTTGATCATTTCTCAAAAGCTAAAACTTCGAAGCAGGAGGAGTGATTTTGATGTTATGCAGAAAAATCCAGTAAGGAGGTGGTTTGGCACCTGCAGGGAACTAATAAATTGTTTACGGCATGCACAAAACATGTGATTGCAGAAACAAGTAGCTAGTGTGCGTTCACATGGACCTAATTCAAAAGTCACACAGAAAGAAGGCAAAAATATATTTCTGAAGATAGCGTAGATCTTTTCCCCATCAACCAATCCACCCCAGATGATTAGCCTATTCCATTAAACTCTCACTTTAACTTCTCAGCATAATAAGGTCACCTTATTAAAATTTACATTGTTGATATGCTGTGCAAATGCATCTTAATGTAGGGATGGGAAACCTGTGACCCTTCAGAGATAGATTGCTGGCCTACAGTTCCCAATTACCCCATACTGTCTGGGGCTGATGGGAGCTAGCATTTGCAATCCAACAGCATTTGCAGAGCCACAAGTCATCATCCCCTATCCATTTTAAATACATTAGTAACAGGAGATTGGCTAGGAAGGCAGCTGGACCCTTTGACAAGGGAGTCAAATGTGTGATAAAGGAGGATAGGGAGATTGCAGAGAACCCAAAACTGTCTGAGTCTGGAGCAATCAGGGGGAAAGAAAATGGCAGCTGTACTGTCCCCAGAATAAAATATTTTTTAAAACGAAAAATGGAAGATTCCCAATGGTACTCCTAAAGATTAGTAGTTGCCCCAAATTTCACCATCCTCCCGAAAATGCACAAGAAATCATGCTTCAAATTAGATGCCTGTAAATGGAGCCACAAATTTGGAGCAACACTTGGTCCATTCCTACTTAGGATACATTTTTAGATAAATTTGTATGGAGACCATATACATTTTCACTGTCAGCTAAAACATGTGCTGACATTATTGCAGAAACCAGCCACGGACAGTCAGGTCACAGGCTACATTCTATATGTTCAGCATACACACCATCCCTCCACCCACACCCACCATCAATAATGGTATCTTTGTATAGTCTTTAAAACTGAGCAGGGGAGAAAGTACCGTATTTTTTGCTCTATAAGACTCACTTTTTCCCTCCTAAAAAGTAAGGGGAAATGTGTGTGCGTCTTATGGAGCGAATGCAGGCTGTGCAGCTATTCCAGAAGCCAGAACAGCAAGAGGGATCGCTGCTTTCACTGCGTAGTGATCCCTCTTGCTATTCTGGCTTCTGAGATTCAGAATATTTTTTTTTTCTTGTTTTCCTCCTCCAAAAACTAGGTGTGTCTTGTGGTCTGGTGCGTCTTATAGAGCGAAAAATACGGTAATCTATTATGTTAGCCTTTGGCAATGAAAAGCCAGGTTTATTTCAGAAACAACAATTTAAAATATATATATTTAAATAGGTGGGCAATACTCAACTGTTTTTCCTCTTTTAAAAGCCAAGGCAGAAAACACTGCGATATCTTTCATAGTGGCTACCCCACAAATGTCAGAATGTATCAAAGTATTACATTAAAATGTAAGACATTCATATCCACAAAGACGTGGACCCAAATGATCCTGCTTGTTGCCAGTTACATAAAGAATCTAGTCCTGCAAAAGCAGTCACAGAGTTGGGTGCTCTCCTTCCATTTTTCTGGGCCTCTATAGTCAGTTGCTGCATGTACCATCAATATCTGACAACTGTCACTGCTGGAAGCAATCCCACTGAGAGCGGCTTGTCTTGTGTACTCCCTTCACATTTGTCTATCACCCAGTAAGACAAATCTGAGCTTTTTAGAGACAGTCATATCAAATTGAAAATCTGTACACTAAAAGGCTTTTTAGACTACTACTACTAGAGAGCTACACGATGAAAGGGAAAATTTAGAAGCCTTTATAGCAACTTCAGTTTCTTCTGTTTGAAGATGGTGAGTACTACTAAACTAGATCCCTGCCTTAACCTCCCATCGCACAAGTGCCCAACAGAAGACTGCATCTGGAAAAGGTTGGGGAGAGCACCATCTCTCTTAATTCATGCCATCTTTTTGCATCCTGTTATCATGGGGCTCTGAGATGGTGCTCATTACAGTATGACACACAGGTGAAATAGCATGGTTAGGTAATTTTATGCTCTGGACTTAATTGTTTTACAAGAGGGCTACATTTGAGGGCCTTCCTGTTCATTATGCCCCGAAGTACTGCCCTGCTAGTACTACTTCACAGATGTAGTTTACAGAACCTTCCTGTATCTTTAAATAAATATATTGTTTATTTTCATAAATAAAGCCTATAGTAAAATTAAGTATCCTCCAATACTGCCATTCGTATGTGTCTACTATCCACTATGTGCAGCACCTTAAAACAAGATTTTGATAGTGAAAACATACTGATGAGGTCTCTAGCTGGTTAACAGTATTTAAATTGGTATGAGTTAAACTGTTGTTTCAGAGAAGCAAAATCACTGAGGCAAAACCTATAAAATAGAATAATATTTTACATTATCATAAAATTTTATTGGGTACTGCTATATGTAGTCCATGAATCTTGCAGCATAAATGATGCATGCTATTTCTGGGGGTGGGGGAATTATATATCTATAGTGAATTTCTTGTCAAATTGTGCTGATTATGGCAGCTTGCCCAAAGCTAAATTCATTGTAATAAAACTCCTGGACTGGAACATGGTGCCATTTACGTTATTCACCACCTGAATTGTTTTTGTAGTATATAAACCCAAAGCAAACAGCTGTCAGTTTGAAAACCTCTGAAGAGCTCTGTCGCTAGGCACTGCTGGGCTTTCTTGCTTCGATGCTTTGAAGAACTTGTCAGCTGGTCCCTCGCAACTAGCTGTGGAGGCTGGATCTTAAGCAGCTGAAAGCACTGGATTAGAACAGCTTACATCTTTTGACTTTGTACCGGATCATTGGATTGAAATCACTTTGATAGATGCTTTCGGAGGATTTTGTGTTTTTCTGAAGTCCACAGAATTATATGCTACGTTTCTTCCCTTTTCGTTTTCAGCTTACTCTAGCAACCAGTGTAGGAGTTGCATTAAAGAAAGAAAACCTAGATTTACTGTATCAGCAGAGTATTCTCTCCTGTCCCTCCAAATCAACAAGGCTCAGGATGCAGCTATTAAGTATGTCTCACAAAAACAGAATGCTCCTACAAATCAAATTGTTTAAAGTTGGTGTGATAGGCATTTTTTTCTATAGGTGAGAAAAAGTGATGACTATGCTTTGCTTGTATTAAAAAAGCACAACATGTGGAGGACAGATGTGGGCTCATATTGTATTTTATATGAATGGCCTGTGCAACTTCCTGACTTGAATGGTCTGGATCAAACCTAAACCTAGCATAAGCCTGTCACAAAAGGCTTATCCTGAAGCTACAGTTTTTATCCAGCTTGTAAGATTTATTCATTTCATTTATATCCTGTCTTTCAAGGCACTCAAGGTGGCATACATGTTTCTCCCTCTTCCTCCCCACCCCACCTTTTATGTTTGTTTGGCTACCCTGTGATGTGCAGAAGGCTAAAAGATAGTGGGTAGCCCAAGGACACCCAATTAACTTCATGCCAGGGAGTTCAAACCCTGGGTCTCAGTTCAACAACTACAGCAACATTGGCTTTCAAATACAAAGTTCTCATGCATAAAGTTCACATTTACTAAGGATTAAAAAAAAAAGGTAAAGGACCCCTGACAGTTAAGTCCAGTCATGAACGACTCTGGGGTTGCAGCGCTCATCTTGCTTTACTGGCCAAGGGAGCTGACGTTTGTCTGCAGACAGTTTTTCCGGGTTATGTGTCCAGCATGGCTAAGCCGCTTCTGGAGGAACCAGAGCAGCGCATGGAAACGCCGTTTACCTTCCCGCCACAGCGCTACCTATTTATCTACTTGCACTTTGACGTGCTTTTGAACTGCTAGGTTGGAAGGAGCTGGGACTGAACAACAGGAGCTCACCCCGTCACGGGGATTCGAACCGCCGACCTTCTGATCGGCAAGCCCTAGGCTCTGTGGTTCTAAAAAGATTTTATTCTTGCTATTCATTCTAATGCTCCTCTTCTAAAGGAACTAAAAATATATTCCTCAGATCATGCTCTAATCTACATAGGTGTAAACAACAAGAAGCTGGACTATTTCTGTAAATATTCTACTTAATGAAAGAGGTGAGGATTCTCCAACTACATCCTCAAGTGCATCCACATTAAGGTACAGGCCATCATAAAACATTGTTTAGACCAGGCATAGGCAAACTCGGCCCTTCAGATGTTTTTTAGGACTACAACTCCCATCATCCCTGACCACTGGTCCTGTTAGCTAGGGATGATGGGAGTTTTAGTCCCAAAACATCTGGAGGGCCGAGTTTGCCTATGCCAGGTTTAGGCTTCTCAAGAATATGTGTCTTTGCCTATTACTGTTCCCCAAGTTGTTTGTTTCCTGCAGGGACAGAGATGAAATTTTGATATCTAGCCTGAAACCAGCTCTGTGTTACAAACATGTCTGCAAACAGGAAGGCTGGCAACATCAACCCTGCTGTGTGGGAATTCTTTGCAGATGACCGCAGTGCCTGAAGACAGACAGGTCGTGTATCCATAGCAGTGACCAAAGGGGGAATGACTGCTGGGAGGAGTGCAGGGAGAAGAAACGCCATGGTGCATCTGTAACAGCTGCAATGAAACATGTCTCTCCCGTACTGCAGCAGGCACTGCAACCTTCCAAAAGTTTGACTTCATCCCCTCCATTGTCTCTCAAGACACACAGATGCCCACAATGTAGTTCTTTAATGATAAAATTAAGCTAGCCTGAATATACTCCAAGGCAGGGCTTTTTTTTTTCATTTGGAACTCAGTTCCAGCACCTCTCAGGTGGGCGCCATTACCATTATAAGAGAACATGGGAAGTGTTTGTGCTGAGTTCCGGCACCGCTTTTTCTAGAAAATAGCACTGCTTCAAGGCACTTTAATTTCTCAAGTATTTCTTTCTGAAATTTCTAGGAAGCCAAGGTATCAATCCAGCTTAAAACTATGGTTTAATACGCTGGCCTGTTCCAAAGCTGGTAAATAGACTTGCCTAGTTTGGACAAAATGGCAAAATATTATTAATGATAAACTTCCTGGTTTAATTGTGACAACTGATAAAAGGATGAGCAAAGGGGGTACCTGTGCGAGCAAAAGGCTTGTGTATATCCCAACTTAATAAGCCAATATATGATCATCTAAATACAGCCTTGGAAGAACCTCATTTACAATATGGATATATTTTATCATGTGGGATAGATTTGATGAATACACCTTGTTTTTTCTTCATGGGAATACTTCCATCCTCATTGTGCCTCTGCATGCGCTCATGAGAACACATCAATCATCTGTTATTTTTCTTTCTTTAATTATATGCCCGCCTGGAGACAATATTTATTGGCACAGATAAAGCATCAAGGAGCAAATGGATTTTTTGTTTCCCTTATTTCTTCTTCTGGCTGGTAACATACATTGCTACTAGGTCTCCTTCACTCAGGCGAGTGAAGCTCACTTCACCTAGTCATCAAGTTGCTGAGCCTGTGAGAATCAGTATTAGCGAAATGCAACTGATCTGACATCAGTTCCACACAAATAATAGTTTTGTTGTAAACCAGTTATCACAGCCTTTTTGCACATCTTTTCAAAAACTGTTTATGGATATATGCCGGCAATTGGTAACATAATTCCCCACTCCCTAAAAAAATAATAAAAAAAATAAAGAAACCTCCAGTATCAGAACAAAGCTCAGTACATAGTTCTGCAGTATTTTCAAAACAAAGAAGCATTTACTGCATGGATATCCATGCATTTTGGCCATTAAATGAGATGAATTTAAGGCGAGAGAGAACCTTGGCAATAGTGAGGAAAGTTGTGCATGGAGCTACAGATAGAGGGAGAAACCTTCAGAAATGCCCCTCCCCATGTGGACAGAAGAGCAACTTAGTTTTCAAGCCAATACATATCAATTTTATATTTACTTTTAAAAGCTATTTTCATTTGTAGTTGTCTTTTTAAAGCAGAGATATGAAGATAAGGTTGATAATTAAAGAACAAGAGTGAAACATTTTACTTCCTCAGACCGTGTATTTTTCATGATTTCCTTATATGTAAAAATCTAACACAATGTGTGAAAATGATGTGTTTCTTTTCATTAAACACTTATATTTAGCAGAACAAAGCTTGGGCTTCTAGAGATACTCAAATTCTTTACAATTAAACTTATTCTTTCCTGGTTTCACAGGGCTTGCAGAAGAGTGAAAAATAAAGACCTACCTGTAAAAGTTAATCAGGCAAGAAAGATTTGAGTTTTAAAAGCCTAATAAAAGTTCAAAGATTCCAAGAAACTGCAGAAAGAAAATGGTGTTTTAAACCCATACCCTTTACAAATACAGTGGTACCTCGGGTTAAGAACTTAATTCGTTCTGGAGGTCCGTTCTTAACCTGAAACTGTTCTTAACCTGAAGCACCACTTTACCTAATGGGGCCTCCTGCTGCCGCCGCGCGATTTCTGTTCTCATGCTGAAGCAAAGTTCTTAACCAGAGGTACTATTTCTGGGTTAGCAGAGTCTGTAACCTGAAGTGTATGTAACCTGAAGCGTATGTAACCCTAGGTACCACTGTAGTTGAATAGACAGTAAGAGCAAACTACCCCGTGTTCACCTTATGATGCAGGGGACAGAGGGTATTTGCAGAGAAGCACTGGTAGGCAAGAAGAGGGTACCTAATCTTTTCCCTAACCACTAATTCTCCCAACCAAATACCTCCTCCAGACACCAAAATCTAAAGCAATGCCATCTGGGAGGAAACAGCCAGAGGGAGGACAGATGCACTGCAGCATATAGGAGGATTAAGCAACCCTCTCACTCATCAATTCTCCTCAGTAACTGGGCCTCCTACCCACACATTACCTATTATCTTGGCAAACTTGAAACAGGAACCCCACATTTGTTGAAAGTAATAACTCATTTTAAAACGTCGTATCTCTCTCTCACACCCCACTCAGCAGCACCAAAACTTGAAATGTAATCAGAGCTTTTGTTTTGCAGAAATTCTAGCAAAACAAAACACACACCTTCTTAGAAAACCACAAAAAGTAGTAGGTTGCAGGTTATTATTTTTTTAAAAAAAGATTCAGTAAGCACCATGCGTATGTCCAATATTTAAATAATTATTCAGGTTCTTTTAAATATAAACTGAACAAATACATTTCTGTTTACACAAAAAGAATTATAGGTCATGGATCAACACGAATTCTTCTGTTCCACTACATGGACAAAGCTTTTTAAAAAATCATTTCATTGCAGGGAAATAAAACACCTCTGAGACTATGCCAGGGGTGAAGAACCTGTGGTCCTCCAGATGTCATTGGATTCTGTATGTAGGCAAGGTAGCACCAAACTCCAACTATGACAAGGGAGTGCACTGTATCCCACTACCTTTAGTCCATACCTCCTATCAAGACTACATCAAGAATATGTCCTGCAAAATGTGTTGGCCTGATGACCATTTGAAACAGCACCATGATTGTCATGAAGCCCATGAAGTCCTGTGCTGGCCCAATGGCAGCCTCCACATGGATGTTGAAGTCACACTGAACTATCGTCCAGCGGTTCTCCAATCCCATGCCAGAGACCACTCCGGACAGTTTGGTCAGGGATGCTGCTGGGCAGCAGGGCGGTTGACAAACCAGCATCAGCATCAGCAGTCTACCAAGTTTTGGCTCTGTTTTGATGTCATTACACTTGTGCAGACTCAAGCATCGTTTTCTTTCTTATTACAAATGCAAAAATCATGCTCTAATGTACTGATAAAATCCTGCTCTCACATCACAAATACCAGATACTTCCACAACTTGATTCTCTTCCAAGAGGAAGAGATGAATGGGAGATATAGTCATTACAACACAAAAGGCACAATGAAGCTGCTTCCTCAATCTAGAAAAAAAACAAAACTCGGTGTCAAGCAAAATTCTTCCGTTTATTCTATCAGTGCCAAAGGCAAGTTGTGTCAAGTTTTTAAAAGAGCCAGTATAATTATGAAATTGCATAAACTGCAATGCTGTAACTGATTGTATCTGATCACTGAATGATGGCATTTATTTTTTAACATTAACATAACATAAACATAAACTCTCTTATTAGTGAAAGCAACAGAACTTGCTCCAAATGTAGAAACAATCATATCATGCATAAAGCTAACAAAATATACAAGAGCAAGAAATGTAGTGCTTTTCTTTCTTTTTCTTTCTTTTTTATTTACATATATTTATTTATACCTTTACGAAGTATAACAGATGACACATGAAATAAAAGTAGAAAGAGATATCTAGAGCTAAAGATAAAGGAACAAATTGTAATACCACAGTTGAATATAACAAATTCGTATCACAGGTTCCAAGTAACATAAACGAGTTTACATTATCCTGTACCTTATTACACAAGTACATTATTAAAAGACTCAATTTGTCAACCCTATCTGATTCTTACCATATATGTATGCTTAACCATACATACTATGTCCCAAATTTTAGTTATCCATTCTCTCAAGGATGGTGTTCTCATTTTCTTTTCCAATTCCAACAAATAATAATTATTTCAGCAGTTAAGAGATGTTGCATTAATTCTCCATCCACTGTTAGTAAAGTTTAAGATATCCAGACAGAAGAATTAGCGGGCCCCATGGGTAAAGTATAACCAGTGATTACTTCAATTGTCTTTAATCTGTCTTCCCAATTTTTTCTGATTTTAGGACATGCCCCAAATATATGCCATACCTCAGCATTTGAAGATCTACACCTCCAACAGGTACCACTGGCTATTGTGTATGTTTGGCTAAGATGCTGCGACGTTCGGCACCAACAGAATATAGCACTTATCAATCAATCTCATTATCAATCAACATTCAATTTACACACACACATACCCTGACTTTTCCATAGCTCATAGCATGAAAAAGTCACTTGTCTCAGTTCAGTCCACAACTGCCATTACCACCTTGCGTGTTTTGTGTATGTGATGGTGTTTGCTGGGAGAGTGTTTTCATCATCAGGAGATGATTTGCTTCTTCAGTTATTGGCAGTCTCAGATTGGTGAGAACTGGTGGTGTTTCCAGGGTCATGGGTAGTGCTTATCTGCTGATTTTTATGCCATATTTGCATTTTCTAGTTTTATCCCTCCTCCTCTCCAGGGCTGAGAATGCACTGAATATGGTGTGTGTCTTCCCTCATCCTGGCAGAATAAGAGTACAGGATTGCACTGTTAGCCATTCAATTTGAAAATAATAATTAAAGAATTAAACCCTTTTGAGAAATTAAAATTGTGGCAGAGGGAGAATGGGGGTATATTAAGGAAAGGTATGGCAACACCACTTCCAAAGCCTGTGTTTCTCAGACTTACCTCCAGAAATGGGAGTCAGCTTCACTGAACACAATGGTACATACTTTTGAGCAGACATGTATAGGACTGCACTGCAAGATAGCTCAGTTTGGGTCCCCGCCCCCATAGATGGTATTTGCTCATTTTAGAGCTTCTGGGAGGAAGTAGGATTGTCAGCTGTTTTAGACTTGATTTGGCTTTTAAAATGTGCAATTCAAAAAATTTGTAGTATATCACCAAAACCTGAATAGTAATATTGTTTTAATTATATTGGATGTGCTAGACAAGTTAAAATGTAATAAGCAAAAAGCAGCCACATTGCTAGAAGGAAAGTTTATCTGATTCCTTAATCAATTTAGCCATCAATCACTGACAATATGGATTTTAACTGAGCATTTTGGCCCACCATTTGTAGAAGATAAATAATGAAATATCAAAACAGCTGATAGCTTCAGAAACCAGTAGCAAGGACACAACAGTATACTGAAAGAAAGTTTCTAAAAAGAAATAGGCAAGGCGAAGAGGGAGACAGCCTGTCTAAACAGCTTAAATGTTAGCGACCCTGCCGCTATAAGTTGGAAAGAGGGAGGCTTTGAGTTGCTACCTGCACATTTTTTACCAAGACAGTTTCAGAATTGAAGAGAAATCATAGGGATCCAAACCAACAGCAATTCTGCTTATGTTACTCTGCTCACAGACAGGGGCTTTTAAGCTTTCCACTTTAAGACCCTGATGCACACTGAAAATCCCACCTCATAGGATAAGCCATGACATAAGAATCTGGTGTCAAAAGGAAATTTTGTCTCATCACTCATGCATGAAACTCATTTAATTTTCCACATTAAACATCACATGTAGGTTACCTCATGTCTTGTGTCTTAAATTTGGATAAACACAGTCCAGAAATGGCTTTCATTGGGACAGTGTTTATCTTGTTAATATTGCTCAGTTCTTTGTTTTTCAGAACAATGCATTTTCCCCCTCCTGTTCTCTGCTCAGCGAGTGCAAGATATGAACAAAGTTAAGCATCCTGCCACTGCAGTAGGATGAAGTGCATGGCCTCATTCACTGTTTCATAATTGTAAACAATACTGTAAGGTTTTTGTTAATGGGCATGACTTGCACTCAACTACAGATCTACTGAATAAATGCTCTGAATATTCCACCAATATTTAAATTGTAGTGCTCAGAGGAAAGGCAGAAGAAGCCCAGGGCAGGCAGAAACTCTTTCTTGCCCTATACTGTACTTTAAGGTTGTGGTCTGTTGTATTTAACAAACATATGTAACAGGAACCTATAAATGAGTCAACACATAATTCTGAAACTCTCCAGATAAGCCTCCGAAGGTGAAAGAAGCAAAGCAAAATTATTCTGATCAGCTAAAACCAGAGTTCCAGGAAAACTTGCTTTATCGGGCATTAAATCATCATCATAATAGGAATATGAAAAGGCCAATTGGCCCTGTAGAGTTATTAAACTGATAGAATATATAAATGCTATTATCTCTCAAGTGACTATCACTAGCCTTCGCCATTACTGCATAATGTACATGTATAAAAATCTAATCTTGTATGTAAAATGAGAATTAAACTATTTCAGTAGCTACTGTATATTGAAGGACAATTTGCATTTAACCAAAACGTGCAAAAATAACCTTAAAAGGGTTATCAGCATTAATACAAATATTCTCAGCACCTCAACTATGCATATTGAGTGCCTCCAATATTACCAGACAAAGGGGCATATTAATACCATCCTATACTAGATCAACCAGTTCTCCCAAACTACAGTGTTTTACCCAGCAACATCCTGAAACCATACTCCTTTTACACTAGCCACACAAAGGCAGTGAGTCCAAAACAAAAAGGTTAAACATACTCAAGTAGAAGACAATAAAGTTGAGCTTCACTTGCATCATCATCTCTGACCTAATAGACCTTCTGGCAGCCTCCCCAAGCTAGCCATCCCTCCTGATGCAGCTGATGGAAATTTTAGTCCAGAACATCTGGAGGGCATCAGCTTGGGGATGCTGGACCAAGGCAATGGGATTGGAGAAGATCTGGTTCTGTGCTTTGTTCATTTGAGAGTTGTATGTTATTACCTTGCTCATGGGGTTGAGGGGGACCCGCTAGCCACTATATTATACAACTGCAGGTTTTTTGGGGGGGGAATCAGTAGATATGTCTCTCAAATCTACAAAAAGAAAAGTCTAGTCTTCTCTGATTTCTTTTCATATTGAGAAATATTTAATTCTTAAAGTTCATTACTCATAAGAAAAGATGAGGTATTTTATATCTAAAGATGGTTTATAAAGAAGGGGGAGGAACTCACCATCACAGCTAGCCTGACTATACCATAAGCTCGAACAGTTGCTTATCTTGTAACATGCTTTTTAACATTTTATGGTTTTAAGTTCAACAACTTGCGGGTGTCAGGAATTTTACTTTTTGAAATATGGCAACCCTATGTAAACCACTTAGTTTTTTATAACACAGCAGTGTAAACATTTCAACTGGAAGTGCACTTCAGGATTTTTGCACTGCTGCAGAGGATGCTGCAATGACACTGAATACCCATAGCTGTACCCCAGCATCCTTTTCAACCGGAGCCTAGAACTAAATTGTTTCAGTTGCTATCATACATCAAAATGCAACTTGGATTTATCTAAAACATGGGTGGGCAAACTAAGGCCCGGGGGCCAGATTCGGCCCAACCACCTTCTAAATCCGGCCCATGGACGGTCCGTGAATCAGCGTGTTTTTACATGAGTAGAATGTGTCCTTTTATTTAAAATGCATTTCTGGGTTATTTGTGGGGCATAGGAATTTGTCCCCCCCCCCAAATATATATATATATATTCCAGCCTCCCACAAGGTCTAAGGGACAGTGGACTGGCCCCCTGTTGAAAATGTTTGCTGACCCCTGATCTAAAATGTATCAAGAATAGCATCTGTGACAATGCAAGGATTATGTGGACCTCTTCTTGGAACATGTGGTGCAGCTCCTTGAGGTAGTAAAAATGTTGTCTCTGCCGCCATTGTTATTCTGGTTATATTAATTGCTTCTATGTTTCATTAGAAGATGAGACATCACAGCACTTGCTGCATTTAATTCATGTGCCCATTCTTCTCACTAATGAGAACACTACCAGGACATAACTACGACCATCACCAACATTTAGCAATGAAGAGATTACTAATAACTGAAGCACAGAAAGCCTGATTTTTTTCCAGAGACATCCATGGCTTTAGTGGTAAAAAATCATTTGTAGAATTGGACTCTAGAGAGCAAGACCCTTAATTGCAGATGCCCACCATGGACAAAAAAACACATTAAAGCAGGCTTGACTTGCTTCCAGAATTAATCTCTTTTCCAATTAAAACAATTCCCAATATAAGATAATTATGCCTCAAACTATAGGTTCTGCAAAAGCCAAGTATTTAGAAGCTAGTTTACTTTCTTTGCAATAAAAAATAGGAATAGCTATTCTCCTGCAAAATTATACTAACCAGAAAGTTGAAGGAAATTCTTTCAGACACCACATTTAAACCAGAAATAGCAACTGTGGTCACTAAACAAACATCTGAGGCAAAACTGCCATCAGTACAAAAAGAATACATTGCAATGTGTCGGTTTGAAAGTGTTCTCTTATTATTTTCTCCAGTAAAAATTGCTTCTGCTTAAATAATACTGATATTTATGGTACAAAGTTGTTGTCGTTAGTTATCTTTGGCATTCAGAAACAAACATAAATGGTTCGATATTTTGGCTGTGGTTTCCAAACTAACTCTGCACATGCAAAATTACCTCCTTTTCCCAAGTGGGCACTGCAGGTCACAGGGCCTTGGCACTTTATTTAAGTTCAGTGTATAATTATTTAATCTAAGAACTATTATCTATTGGCATATAAGCATAATTACTGCATATACAAATATTAAATTCAGTAAATCATGTTGGCAGCTTGGGGGGCTAAAGAGACTCCCAATCTCTCAAGTCAGTATAATGTCTGACAGCAGGAATAGGAAACCCTCCTCCAAGCCAATAATAATAATAAAAAAATGGAATTTTAAATAATTTAGGGCATAAAGATTTATACACCAGCATAATTTTCTCAAGGCCATGTTAACATTAACTTAAGAAAACTATTCCTATTCCTATGTTTGAAACACTGTTTTAATTTACTGTTTAAAAATTAATCTGTGATTTAGCATTTTTAAGCTAGAAAGTATGGACAATTTCCCCAATGTTTTATGTTTATGTTTTATAGATTGTGGACTATGGCACTTTCTTTCCTTGAAGTGCTAGAGGTAAATGTTGTATATATGCACCTGCTGTATAAGATATATATTGCGCCTTGTACTTATTATTACTATAATCAAATGAAATGGTTAGTTATACAGCGACAAGCATTTACAGATATTTCTTTGGTGGATTGATGCCGATTCACAGGCGAAAGCATTTTATGCAGAAGAGCAAAGGACTGTCAGTCACTAAATTTCTTAGTTGAAATATAGTCCGTATTAAAGCACCTCTTTCACCACATCATAATACTGACTCAGCTTGCCCCATCCCTGCCCCAGCTCTCTTTCTCTCTCTTTTTTTTTTTTACACATGCAAACCTTATTTAGTGGATCTGCAACGTAATGTTGCCCACTTCATAGCTGCTTAGCTTCCCTGCACAGAACTCCGGTTGTCTACACCTCTGCATCTTAAAATCTAGTTTTATTTCTCACATTTCACACAGGACATTGCCAATAACCCCTTTGACATTGCCCTCTTCTCTTGGCACCAATATTAAACTACCAACGCTTCAGAGGTAGATCAATGTGTTTCTTAACATAAAATGGCAAGTCAGGTACATCTAATACAACTTGATACGATCTGTTACAAGTTATGTTCTTCACGTTTCAGTGGTTTGGACAGATTTTTAAATGCACTTGTGTTGCCCTTTAAAGTAAAGAAGATATTTCACAGTAGGTTATGTGGATTCCTTATATCACTATGAGAATACAGAGCATGGTAGAATTCTTTAATGGAGAACAGCATCAATACAAAGTCAAACATTTGTTTTAAGGCATCAATTAGCTGAACTCTATCTAAAACATACAGTGGTGCCTCGCAAGACGAAATTAATTCGTTCCGCGAATTTTTTCATCTAGCGAATTTTTCGTCTTGCGAAGCACGAAATCCCATAGGAATGCATTGAAAATCAATTAATGCGTTCCTATAGTCAAAAAAAGTCCAAACAAAGCCAAATCTGGTACAACAAGAGTTTATTAAGTGCTCTTTAAAGTCACACATACTTTAAAGAGCATTTCAAAATTCAAACCCAGAATTTTTTTTAAAAAACAGCAGAGTTGCCCAATGGTCACAGAAAATCATAAAAATGCAGGGGGGAAAAACAAGCTTCCAGATTCTTGCAAACCCCTCCCCAACTGTTCCCCCAGCCACCCAGCACACAGAAATTCAAATCCAGATTTTTTTTTAAAAAAAGCAGAGTGGCCCAATGGTCACAGAAAATCATAAAAATGCAGAAAAAGCACACAAGCTTCCAGATTCTTGCAAACCCCTCCCCAACACCAAGTCCTTGAATTCCAGACACCCCAACCCAAAATCCAAAACCCCCCAAAAAAGTTTTAAAAGCTTAACTTACCAAATGGCTGCAAAAGAAGTTTTGGAAAAGCTTCAAAAATCAGCAAAGTCCTCAAAAACCTCAAAAAAGGCTACCACACCGCGTGCTATGTGTTGCTCCTCGAAGTCAAGTCGCAACTGCACCTCTTCAAGCAATGCACCTTGGGTTTTAACGGTTTTACGAAAAAGGAAACAAACTTGCAAGACGTTTTCGTCTTGCGAAGCAAGCCCATAGGGAAATTCGTCTTGCGAAGCAGCTCAAAAAACGGAAAACCCTTTCGTCTAGCGAGTTTTCCGTCTTGCGAGGCATTCGTCTTGCGGGGCACCACTGTACACACTTCTCACTTTCTCTTTCAGCATTACTCTTTAAAAAATGCAGCTGTTTGCACCTTTCTATTACTTCAACTCATTTTAAACCACATTCACTATAATAACCATTGCACTATAATTCATAAAACAAAACTGTCAAGCAGTTTTATATGTAGCATCAAGTAATATGTGTCTTGTCATTTGAGTAAGCTGACACAAACCAGCCATCTAAAAGTATGAAAACAGCATTGGGGGGGGGGGGGACATGCTAAATATGATACCATTTTTGCAAGGATACCTTCTTCTTTTTTTTTGCAATCCCTGGCAAAAGAATACGCTGATCTTAGGCTGCTTCCAACAGTATCATTCAGCTGCTAGTAAGGTTTCCATTAGAGAAACAAGGACAGAAGCAGTTTTTGGTGATCTATTTTGCAGCCCCCACCCTCCAAATCTCATCCAGAAAATGGGGGCATCTTTCAGGGCTGCTTTAAGAAGGCTCGGGGCTGCACATTGAAATCACTGGAAATTGTCTCCCCCTACCCCACTAGTGAAAGCTATCCGTTTAGCCAAGAAAGATCATTGACTGCAACCCCTATTTTGAAAAGGGAATAAAACCACCACCTGTCCATTCATAGCCCTACTTACTTTCATCCTAAAGATGCTTATTACAGAATTATAGAGTTGGAAAGGACTTAAAGGGTCATCTAGTTCAACCTTTGCAATGTGTTATAGCATTACACTGCCTACAGTAGGTCCTAAGTGAAAATGGGACAGGAGATTTCTTCATTTTACTACCAACATCCAACAACTCACCCACTTAAGTAGAGAAGTCTCTAATGCTTCTCTTAAGGAAATCTATCCTTTAATGAAGGTTCTAGCACAGTAAAATATTTTGACCTAAAGGTATATTCTGTTATGTCATGAACTCTTAGCATTAATTGTACTGTCAGGTCCACATATTTGCAAACCTGAAACATAAAATGTACCATAGGAATTATGGCTGCAATCCAAAATAGTGGCATAGTTGCTGAAGCAAAGATAACACAAATGCAGCCAAACCTCTCCGTCAGCTGCATCTGCAGTCAGAGAGAGATATTTGCTCATTTTAAAATAGGCCTACAAGCTTTTTTAAAAGGTGGAAGAAATGAAGAAGATAGAAATGCCATATTACACTGTGCTATGCTTCTAGCTCATAGTACTTAATTCCTATAGCAATTTTCAGTGTACCAACCACTTCCAATTCTCATCTCATTTATCTTCAAAGCAATCCTGGAGGATATTTGCAAAGCTACCCAATGAACTTTGTGACTATATTGAGTGTTTAAGCTCCTCAATAGCACCATAGCATATAATGGGAGGAATTCGACATCACACTATTAGGATCATTCTGTCAGCGTAAGCATTTCATCTTGCCAGAGGGAACTATCTCCACTCTCCTCCTCTCACACACATACTCTGGGGGGCCACGGTGCATTGGGGGAGGGGGCAAAAGCTCTGTTGCCCTAGCAGGACTGATTGGCCAGGGTGCCACTAGTGCAACTGTTTAGTTGAATCTGGGCTTGTGTGTTTGCCCAAATCTAAAGGATGAAATGTTTTCAATAAAATTACGGTACTTTTTTAAAAAAAATCTCTGAACATCAGTGTACTATGTGAAGAAGACTTTCTTTTAAAATATATGGCCTATGAGAAAAACTCAAACACAACTCAATAATGCAAAACTCTATCCAAGAGTAATATTGTTTATAAAGTAGAAAAGGTAGAGAGGTTTTTAGATTTCTTGCTGAACTGTGACACTGTGCAATTTCATGAGCCCATTAAGTTTCAGAACTCTAAGCACAGCACATCTTGTAAAACAGGAGAGAAATGTGTTTTCTGATTACTTGGTTAGGTATGACATGATGTAATTAGCTTAGCCCATTAAACCTCAAATGTACAAGCATGAGATTTATGTGTAATAGTGCATCTGTTTTGCATCTGATCTAACCCAACCACCTGAAGTCTTCAACTTAAAAATATATACCAGGCTTTTTTCAGCTGGAACTCACCAGAACTCAGTTCCAGCACCTCAGGTGGGCGCCATTGCCATTATAAGAGAACAAGGGAGGCGTTCATGGTGAGTCCCAGCACCTCTTTTTCTAGAAAAATAGCACTGTTATTGGCAATATCCAAACAAAAAACTGTACCTGGGAAATCCATATCTTTGAAAATCAAATGGGAAAAAAGTTTTCCATAGTTTTGCTAATAAAGATGTGTTGTAATAAGCTCTTCCAAACAGAATCATTTGAAACAAGGTATCCACAGTGGCAGAGCTTCATGCTCCGGCACTGGGGGGGGGCAGAGAGCAGGTGGGGCGGGGCGGGGTTGGTGCACTGCCCACAGAGGCATGGCGGACGTCCTGGGGGTGTGGTGTGCTGCCCGCAGGGTCGTGGCACGTCGCCTGCGGGGGCGTGGTGCCCAGCGTGGACAGGGGGGCAGCCACGATGGCACCCCACCAGGATCGTGCTGGCAGGGGCGGTGCGCTCCCCCCGCACTCCTCTTCCTACGCCACTGGGTACCCAGCATGTTTTTAATCATTGTGTATGGTGAGCTTGTACATACCACATGATGAAAAACCAATAGCCTATGGAGTATACATGTGTTTATGGCATTATGCATGCATATGCATGTGTGTTGCCTTAGCCTGTTTAAACTAAAATCTGAAATGCATCACTAGAATAAATTCAAACCGTCTGAACAATGAGCTATGCCTTGTCTTAAACCATCGTTGAATCATAAATGGGCCTGCCCACCCCCACCATGCAGACGCCTTCACAGCATGCAGCAAACCAAACAGAAAATCCCTAATTCTCCTGTTTCACCCAAACTGGGAAATTATCATTGCCAACATCAGAAGAAGCCAATATATTAAATTAATGATTTAAGTTGGTGTACTACCCTGGTGTCTTCTCAAATAAAACCACAGGGTTGTATTCATATCTTATCTGAATACCACCCATAGTTTCCCAAAACAGAGAAAACAGGAATTAGCTGATTTAACTCCTTGTGCAAAGAGGTATATGAACAGGCTGAAAGTGTGTGTGGCCAAGCTAGTGCATTTCTCAGTTTAATAAAACAAGCTATGTTCATCCAAATGTAGCTTACTGGGAAGAAATGCAGCTAAACAATAAGAACACATTAACTGAGTGATGCATAGTTTTAGCTGCTGGACTAAAAACAGATTAGAACAGAAAGAGAAATAATTATAGTTCATCAAGCAAAACAGAAAAGGGAAAATACTGTAATTAAATAAAACAATCTCATTATATGAAAAACACACACTAATTTTACCAATATATAAATAGTAAATTAAACTAAAACACACTATATTGGTTTTCCTGGCTGTCATTATCTCATTGGCATTTTTACTTATATTCTCTTTACATATTTTCACATCTGGCAATTCAGATATGCCACACTTGACAGTAATGTATCCTTTTCAAACAGAAGCATACACAATATCTTTTGATGATATTTTAATTGGTTAAAGACCACACACCATTGTTTGAATACTGAACAGAACTCAAAGCAGCATCTGTATAACACATATCTAACCAATACAAATGACTGTGAAAATGTCTGCTTTTGCATAGACCATTAACTACCAACAAGCTACTCATTAAAAACCAAATAAGGGTATATTGTAAGCCTCATTTTTTTTAATGAAGATAGGTAGTTGTAGTTCAAATATAATTAATTAGAAAAATTGACAAGTGTAACTGCAATAAAATGCTGTGGAACACTGCAATCTTCTAGCGGACACACTCTTATTCAGGGGTGCATCCAACCAGCCAGGCCCTCCTCCAGGATATTCAATTTTACTCCCCATCTACCCCACTTTTATGACTTCCATTTCCAACTTACACTCAACTTTCCATGGCTTCTGTGCATGCTCAGTGCTCATTGCGCTTTGGGGAAGGGTTTATTTGTTCCTCCGCAAACCTCAGGGTTCCCCCAAGAATGCAGATATCCCTCCCTCTTGTTTCTCTCAGTGTTTGCACTCCATTTCTGTCACTGCTTGCCACCTGAGTTCACTATCAGAGAAGTGATGTACTGCTCAATTATAGACAAGGAATTACTGGATACCATTTGCTTGAATAAGAAAGGCAATTGGGATCTCACTTGAGACAGATTCATATGACCATCATGGGAATACAATAAGAATATTCAAGCTATTAAGAAATACATTTCTATCCAATATATCCCTTGGTGTATCAGCTAGTAATCAACACTACTGAACATTAAATTTTATTCATTTTGTAAGATTATATTTGTCTCTAATATCATGATGCAACAGCTAAAGTATAACTCTGAAATTTAATATTTCCAAATTGGTTTTGGAACAGCTTAGTTCCCGAACATTTTGGCTCCCGAACGCTGCAAACCTGGAAGTGACTGTTCCGGTTTGCGAACTATTTCTAGAAGCTGAATGTCCAACGGGGCTTCCGCAGCCAATCAGAAGCTGCACTTTGGTTTTCGAACATTTTGGAAGTCAAACGGACTGCGCCGCCGCTGCACAATTTCTGTTCTCATCCTGAAGCAAAGTTCTTAACCTGAAGCACTATTTCTGGGTTAGCGGAGTCTGTAACCTGAAGCGTATGTAACCTGAAGCGTATGTAACCCAAGGTACCACTGTAATTGTCTCATCCACATTCTTTGCCCATAATATTAGCAAATCCTAATTCTTTGATCCTGAGAATAAGCCTACCTACCCATACCCCAGAACAAAAAGTATGACAGAGAAGCTTCCTGCACTACATGTTATGATAGCACAATATAGTACAGCACAAACTTACCTATTATTATTGTTGTTATTATTATTATTACTATATTGAATCAAATGGTAGTTTAAATTGAGAGCAAATGACTGACTGACCCAGTATCCCCCAATGAGCTTTATGGCTGAGCAGGGATTAGGACCTAGGTCTCCCTAGTCAAAATGCTGTTAGTTTAACTCAGGGGTCGCCACCATGGCACTCACGGACTTACGTTTGCCTACAGAGTCCTTCTCTAGCACAGATAGGCATCACTATCCCTGATGAAATTAGGCTTGAATTAAGCATTCTACTGCAGTAAATATAATAGAGTATGGGGGGGGTACCTATGATCATTCTGAGTTCCAAATGTGCCCAAAGAACAATAAATGATGGTGTCCAATAACATAACATCTGTACAGACCAGTTCTTACTGCTGCTTTCCTCCCCTGTTTCATTCCAGATGCATCCACAACTGCACTGCAGCCTAGGCCTCCACTTTTTAAATACTTCGTCTGTCCCAGCAATGTCCTGCTCCAGGAAGCCATCAATGATGGACCAGTCCCTAGGCAGTCATCACCACACTGGCTGTGGGGAAGCCTCTGGCATGATTTGGATGTCACATTAAACCATAGTTTAAAATTAACAATTGCTTAACATTAATAAGTAGAGTGCTGGTGTATGCTGCTTGAAAGTTCCCACTTCGTTTGCTACCCCCCCACCTCCTGCTGCCATGCCAGGGAGGAAACAACCAGGAGTCATCTTTGTGTCACGTGTGAACCAGCATTCATCATTTGCTTCTCTTCAAACTATAAGCAAAAGCCAGCCTTTGCTTTCTTTCATCCTGGCTGTGGCAACAGCAGGAATGGGGTGGGGGGGGGAGAGTGAAGCAGGGACTTGAGCAGTCTGCACTAGAACAATGCTCATCCACATTAAACCATTGTTATATTAACTATGGTTTAATGGGACCAGATCTGAGTGGCCTCTCTTTGCTGGCTATGCAGCTCTAGTCACAGTTTCCTCTTCTTAGGGTACAGTAATCATTGCTTATACATAATACTTAACATAATAATAATAATTTGTAAGGGTGCATGGATTTTCTCATCTTTACCTAATATTGCAGATTGGTGCTATCCTCTGGTTTCTATTTATCTTTTCAAAAATTAGTCACACACCATTCCCCTATCTACAAATTTGCTACAGCTAATGACAGAGCATAAGTTAATATTGATCCTTCAGAACTCTGAAAAGAACTGTGAATGCACCATCCAAAACCATTAAATCAGTAATGCAGCTAGTGATGCATGGGGCTTCTGAGCAGAATCAAAGTACTTCATTGCTAGGCTTTAAAATTTCTGTCTGAATACATTAATTCAAACTTAAAATTGTATACTTTTCCAATATTTTGGCAAACCAACAATTTTAATTCTGTAGGAATGACTTTTCCATAGTTACTGGAAACTTAGGATACTGTAACTGTTTGCTCTTTCTCAGGTTCAAGAAACACTAAAATTCAACTGAGGGAGAAATAGGTTTCATTCCCAAACCTCTGTTCTTTTTGGCAATATATATGTGCCTGTTGTAAATTGGCTGTTTTTCAGGACAAATGAAGCATCTAAGTACTTAAGCAATTTTTATGATAGTCAGAAATGGAACCCAGGTGTTAAAGGAAGTCAATATACTTTAATTCCTTTCACACTTACAAGCTACATTTTTCAAATTAGGAACCATGCATGCCTAAAGTTCATTAATCCTCTGAAGTTGCACTTCTATTGTCTTTTAGTTTAATCATAACACCCAAGAACAAGTAAAGGTCATCCACTGGGCTAGAGTTTTAAGATATTTTTGGTGACTTTCTACATTAACTTACTGCCTTAGTTATTAGTAGAATTTTTTTTACTAAAAAACAAGAAGTGAATCAATGGTTACTCACTATAATGAGAAATAAAATTATTTATCAGTTAGACAAAATGCATTGAGAGATGATGATGATAATGATGCTTAATAATACACCACCTTTTCCCCTGGTGGGACTCAAGGCATCTTGCAGATAAAAACAAGAATTGCTAAAACATAGGGGAAAACTATCATTAAAAACAATTAAACATTAACAGAATTAAAACTATATACATATATAGAATCTGTTTAAAACAAATAGCAATAAAAAACAGCACCAGCCCTTTCATTAAATGCAGTAATTGGAGATTCTTCATAGCAGAGAGAAAGCCACCTTAAACTGAGTTAGACCACTGGGGTCACCTAGCTCAGTACTGTCTGTGCTAATTGGCAGTGGCTTCCCAGGGCTTTAGGAATGGTTATTTTCCCAAGCCTATACAGTGGTACCTCGGGTTACAGACGCTTCAGGTTACAGACTCCACCAACCCAGAAATAGTACCTCGGGTTAAGAATTTTGCTTCAGGATGAGAACAGAAATCGTGCAGCGCAGAATGGCGGCAGCAGGAGGCCCCATTAGCTAAAGTGGTACCTCAGGTTAAGAACAGTTTCAGGTTAAGAATGGACCTCCAGAACGAATTCAGTTCTTAACCCGAGGTACCACTGTATAGAGATGATTAAACCTGGCACTTCCCACCAACAAACCACATGTTCTGCCATGGAGCACACATGACTCCCTTCCCTCCCTCTGGTTCCTACAGCAGGCTCCAAAGATTTACGGAGGGGGCTTGCCCCTTATTTTTAGGGTATTTCTTTTATTCCCAATAACTGAATCCTAGGAACATCCTTGCAATTTAGGAAAATGCTAAGGAACCAGTAATATGCCACTGACAGTGCAAAACCAGTGGTTGATTCATTACCGCTAGTGATCACAGGCGTCCCTGTTGTCTTAATTCCCTTCTTCTGGTTTAGCAAAATGATGAAGTTATAGCCAAATGCCAGCAGTGACAGGTGGAAGGAGAAATGGGGGCAGCAAGCTGTAAAAGGTGTCAGTTCCCACCAGGGCAAAGGTGTATCCTACACATCACTTTCTTTAGAGAAAGCAAGTGCTATACAAGCCCGGAATATTTAAGTAAGATGTTGTTGTGAAAAGCCCAATATAATTATTTTAATAGAAGAATGCATTTTTTCTCCACCCAAGTCCCATAATATTAAAGACAATGAAGAAAAATAATGCTGGTGAAGAAAGTATTTTTTGCACAATGCAATTATCTTTTTCCTTATCCAACAGAAAATCCCACCTCAGCAAAGAAGAACTGCTTGACAGAAAGGAAAGTATGATTAATGTGGTCTCCAGATATTAATCACTGTAGAACATGATACAGTGCAAAATATTTGACACTGTATAAAATAGACATGAACTAAAAATATAAAACTATAAACAAGAATTGAATACTAATTATAGCAAAAAACAAATTACCATTACATTTTCTCTAGCTATATCACCTATAGATTTCACAGCTAGACTTAAAAGTTAGATAATTTCCTGACATTAAGAAATGTAAATCCAGCATTGCTAAGTTGAAGTTTTACAATTATCTACAATTTATCAATAAAAGAACTAAGGGTTATTCCCATCTATTGTAACAACAGAGCATTTTCTAAGCATGCTGAAGGTACCGAAGAAGCATTCAGATTGGCTACTCCAAAGAGTTATCTGCTAGCTAACTTGTTTCCCTTCTGTGTCAGTTTGAAAGCAATGCATTTTGGACCATACAATGCTACCTTGGTACTTGAACGCCTTGGCTCCCAAACAAATTGGCTCCCGAATGCCGCAAACCTGGAAGTAAGTGTTCCGGTTTGTGAACGTTTTTCGGAAGCCAAACATCCAACATGGCTTCTGCAGCTTCCAATTGAGTACAGGAAGCTGCTGCAGCCAATCGGAAGCTGCACCTTCGTTTTCAAACGGTTTCGGGAGTCAAACGGACCCTGGAATGGATTAAGTTTGAGAACCAAGGTACCACTGTATTTCCATTAGGAGAAGTTGTAGTGGAATCAGTTAGATGCAGAAATTACAGTTGCCCAGTGTCTTTGAATGTTTTATCACTTCTCAACTGCAGGTTACAGCAGGCAGCAGTACTGAAACAAACCTGGGCTGCTGTGTATGATATGAATATACCTATACCTTTGCTATATTAATATTGCAGCCATCTTATCTACAATTAATTGTACTGGAGGTTGTATTTCAGCACCTGATAGCCTGCATTCCTTTATTCTGAAATGCAGGGGAACATTTTTAACTTACTTCACTTTTTTAACATGACCTTCCTTTTGCTGTCAAGGAAAAGTGGTCATTGCTCATTTTTGCTGTCTTACAAACTAATCACTTCCACTCCTGTAACTATTTACAAGGTTTAAAGTAGCACATTGTCAGTTCCAGCTTCAAATAATTCTTATGGGAGTCCATAATCTGCATGGATTTATGTGATTCCTCCTTGTTTTCTTTCATGGTGCATGGGTAAGTAATATCTGGACCACAGGGTCCCATCATTATTTAGATGTGAGAACTTCAATAACATTGACTATTGAACTCACATGGGGAAGTTGGCAGATGTGTGTGAATGGAATATGTCTGAATTGGCCCACGGTAGAAGGAAGGAAGGAAGGAAGGAAGGAAGGAAGGAAGGAAGGAAGGAAGATTTCAAAGCTCACACAAAGGTGAAAAATGGTGATGAGAATTTATAGCAGAATATTCACAAATTATGTCATATGTAACCTATTCTACTTTTGGAAAGAATGGGCCCTTCCAGTATTAATTATAAGGTATAATTCCCTGGAAGGTAATAGAATGACTTTATTAGGATTGCAATATTTTTTGAAAAATGAAACACAATGCAGATTATGTTTTTGGGTCAAATAATTTCTTATATAAACAGCATTACCTGAACCAATCTGGACACAGGTCATTTCATGTGTTATCTCCAATTAACATCTCCCTCCCTAAATTTTGGCAAACTTTCATTCAGTCCAATAAACATTCTGAGATTGACCTACAGTTTCAGACACAAGACCTACAAAATGTTGGGCAAAAAAGAAGACATAATAACAAGTGTTGTTTCAGTTAATTATATGGATTGAAATTTAGCCAAATCATCAGAACAACTTGGTACTTTTATGCAGGCTCATTACCTACGATTTTTGAGGCTAGTCAAGACCTCTGCTTTATTATGTCTCATTCAAGAGAAAAGCACTAAATGCAAATACCTTCCTAGGGTTTTTAAAGCAATTTTCACATGGCTTGTAGTTCAAAGGAAGCAAATAGTTCAGTACATCCTAGAAAGTTCATTATAGTTCTTTAAAGCTTCATATGACTGGGGCAGGGGGAGTGCAATTAATTCTATAATGCAAAAAGGCTGAAAGCAAGTTCATGAAAATAACTAAAAAGAAAAATCCCACACAGTTAGAAAATTAAATAAAAAGATTCATTAATCAACTTGGGCTGTACGATCATAATCTGAGGCACTTATCTATGTGCCTTGTCAAAGGGCTGTGAGAAAGGTGGCAATAAAAGAACATGCCATTTCAGTGGTGGCCCCCTGTGAGATGTTCTTCCCAAGGCAGTTCACATATTTAGCTTTGTAACTTTTGGTTTCAAAAATCCCCCATCCAGGGAAGAACAAGGAATGGAGTCAGGATGAAACCTTGTAGTCACAGGTAGGGACAGCTATTTATTTAAGCACATAGCTTATTTGGTCCCGAGTAAGCTTCCAACGAAGTTATTTATTACCGTTATCATTATTATTAAATGTATTCACTGCTCTTTACAGAATCTTACAAACATTAAAAATACAAAAATAGAGAACAGTAATATTCATGATACTAAAAAAGTTCATGCACTGTCAACATAACAAGCCTGCAAGTTGTGTGCATTTAACTTGTGTGTATTCAGTTTCATGTACAGTACTTGGCAAAAAATAAATAAAAAGGAGATGGAAAGGGGTGGGCAGGATTAGCAATCCCACCCGCCATTGAGCCCAACTGGCCTTAACTATAACACAATTTTAGCTTTAGGTGTAATCCCTGGAAAGTAACTCTAGCATAAATAGGGGGTTTACTCTGTGTATGTATATATATATTTCCTTCTCCACCTTACTAAAAGATGAGCAGCAACAAGGTAGAGAATGGCATAATCTATAGTTTACTATTTTTCCCCCCTCACCCAAATGCTAGTTACATGATGGAGATCAGTTACATTACTAGTGAGATCAGTACTGCCCTAGCTACTCTACAGCAGCAAACTGCTTTAAAGACCAGTGATATCTAATTTTTAAAAACACCCATTTGGCAGCCACTGTTGTTTGAAGAAATAAAAGACGTGATCGCTGCATTGTACCACGGCCCTCTTCTGAGACTTTTGGATACTATGCTAACAAGCCTGAGATTTTCATTCATTCACATGAGTACACTGAAGAGCAGGGAAACATGCTGTAACACACAAAGAAAATAACATGGGAACTCAGTCAGTTGCCCAGGTGATAGTGAAGCAACGTGCTGAAAAATTCATGGCCGTGAAGCAGCACCAAAAGCAGACAAAAAATTCATTTGCAGCTATCTTGATTATGAAAGGCAGACTGATTCATGGAATCACAGCACACCCTAGTGACAGCACTATGCTGCTTGCCACAACATTTCAGCATTTGAACAGGTAGAAAATATAAGAGTTCTAATTACCTGACCAATCCCTGCATTTATATACACTAATTCAGGAAATTGTTAGTACTGTACAAGCAAAAGCTTAAGTAATGTTCATATGTACTTTGCATTCTATATAAAGCACATTCAGATACAATTCATTATTTCCATCCAGTATTTAATGTCAGTCAAAACTCTTAAAATTCCTTCTACATAAACTGAATGCAGAACCAGTTATTAGCAAACCATGACCTTCAATCCTGTATTTCTGGTTGGAGTAACTTACAAGGCAAGATTAATTGATAGGTGCAAGAGGTACTTTTCCTTAGTCCAATGCTCCCCAAAGATACCCCACTACACTAGGATGACTTCTGGTTTCAGGGCAAATCTGAGATAAAAATTAGAACGGCAAGGGAGTCATTTGCATGAGAGAATTGGTGGGAAGGGTTGGGCACCCTCTCCTCGAGTCCAACAAATATTCCATGCAAGTACCCATTGTATACATATCTGAATTACAGCGCACGCGCACACCATTATTTCAACACAACATGTAGTTCTGCCCTGAGATAGTAAGATGTGCTTCATTCCACCCAAGTTCGAATATCATGAGCTGGCTCTCATAGATTGATGCACAAATGTATAAGAGAGAACACTGAAAAATTAAGATTCAGAGGCAGAGAACACGTTTTACCAGAAGAGAGCCCCAAATTTAATCTCCAGGATCCTCAGTTAAAATGGCTCTCATGTAAGAAAGATCTCTGCTTCCGAGACTTATTTCCATTCACAGTCAACATTGCACGGGATGGACTATAGTTTCTCAAGCCAGTTTAGTTTAGCAAACCAGGAATGAGTGCTGGGACCATTCACTCCCTACTTCGATCTTACCTTCTGTACTCTTATCTTAAATAGCAGTTCCCCCATCAACAACCAAAATGGGGTGATCAGTTAACGCCAGTTTACTAACCAAAAACAAAGAGGGCACCCAACAGGAGGGAGCAAGAGGAAGGGGAGTGGTTCCACTCGCCCTTCTTGGCTTGTTAAACTGTGATTTAGCACAGTGGGAAATGTACAGTTGAATGCGGATAGTGTCTAGCATTTCTGCTATTTAACGTTACATTATTCAAAAGGCTCCATGCCCATTATTTGGAAAACTTTATCTATATTCTCCAAAGTCTTTTTAAGTCAAATGTTAAACACTTAAGAAAAATGCCATGACAGGCTAGCATAATACAAGGCTGCATACTTAGCTTATCTAATTATATGACTTGAAGCTTAAAAGTCTCTGTATGGGCCATAGTGCCAAACAATTTCCTGAATATGCTGCATCTTTGGAAACAGGAAATAAATACAGTCAAATTCAATTAGTGCAAAGCAATAAGTTACATTATTTGGATGATTGGCTTTATGTTTCACTGCATTTTATTATCCATTATCTTAATTGATACAATTAACACAGCATTTTTCTTGCTTCAGCATAAGATGATCCATGAATCATGAAATAAACACAAAGCAATAAGCAAAAAGCAAACATAACAGCTACCTTAAAGACTGGATGCTGTAATCACCTCATTTTTAAACAATTCTGAAAACAATTGTTTTCAGTCAGAAAACAAACACTTTCAAGTCACAATTTCCAAATACTCAATTAATAAAAGTGTTCTGCCACACATAGAATTTTAGCTAAACTGAATCCATATTTAGCATGATAGGTGAGGGTGTGGCGGCAGCCGGACTGCATGCAAGCTCCACACGGCCCAAAACGTCATTGTGGGGCTTGTATCCGCCTGCCACCTCCCCCTCAGCTGCTCTACAGCTGAGGGCGAGGCGGTGGGCGGATTCCCTGCAGGCTCCGCACTGCTCAAAAAAGCAGTGCAGTGGCTGCAGGTGTCTGAGCCACCGCGTCACTCCCAGCAGAGACTTGTGGCTCAGGCACGGTAAGTGATGCCTCCTGCAGTATGGCGCCCAGTGCCCCCCCCGATCCCCCCTAACTACACCTCTGTTCCCAGTGACAAACATGTTACATTTAGGAAAGCCCAACTATTATTTTTCTCATCTGTAAAGTTGCACAATGGTGGCAATCTGAAATACTTGTACCAGGGATGGATCTACTATGAAACTAATGAAGCTTAGAAGAGAAGAGGAGTTTGGACTTGATATCTCGCCTTTCACTCCCCTTAAGGAGTCTCAAAGTAGCTAACAATCTCCTTTCCCTTCCTCCCCCACAACAAACACTCGGTGAGGTGAGTGAGGCTGAGAGACTTCAGAGAAGTGTGACTAGCCCAAGGTCACCCAGCAGCTGCATGTGGAGGAGCGGGGAAGCGAACCCGGTTTACCAGATTATGAGTCCACCACTCTTAACCACTACACTACACTTAAGCTTCAGGAGCCATGATCCTGGAGGGGCCCGAGAAGTGACTGCTTTTAAAAAAAATGGGTCTAGTAGACCCAACTTGAGTTCAAGCTAATTTTTTGTTGGATATATTTTGACAATCCCAAAGTTTGAGGCTCAGTAGCACAGATGTTGGAAAGGTGGAACATCAAGGTAAGTTGTTCTGCTGTGGCTAATGTACCCCCCATTTTTAACAGAGGTCGAGACCCTAGAGGAATAACAATGAGATCACAAAAGTACTTAAGTGGATTCCAAAACACAAACACCTACAGTTGAAATAAGCCAAGCAAGCACCACTGAAGCCTGTGAGAGAGCTCTTTCTAGCAATATTCAACCCACTGCTAACACTTTTGATACAGATGATAATCACAGTGGTCAACATGAAAGTACTGCAGAACAGAGACTAAGCAGAAACATGAACAGGAAGCAAATTTAGGGATTTCAAAGAATACAGTGACCTTGGACACTGGCGCACAACAGTTGATTTCATACAGAACATGGGTTTTTTGCAAAAAAAGAAAGATAGATGTATATACCAATTTAAGCAGGGTTTACAAGGAGCCAAAAATATGTTTCTCAAACAAGTATTTTGGAAAAAATATTTTAAAATGGCCAGACTGTGATGAGATCCTGGTTGATTTACTCAAAGAGCAAAGGCTGTATGTACTGTTTTGTTTGCAAACTCCTTTCACTTACATGACTTACAACAGGTGGGTTTTCTGACTGGATGAATGTACTCAGAACTTTGGAGAATCATGGAAACAGCATAGAGCATAAGAGTGTGATGTTGTTTTGGATAACAAGGAAATCAAATAAAAATACTGTGGATATTGCTCGCTTCAACAGCACATACACTATACTAAAAATACTGTGGATAAGCAACTTGAAGAACAGATGAGATAAACCACACAGGACTATTTTGAAGTGGTGAAAAGAGTTGTAGATGTTTTTAAAATTTTAAGTGAAAGAGATTTGGCATTTAGAGGTCAGGAGAAGAAGTGGGGTTCACCAAATAATGGATACTTCCAGCGGGCCATTGACCTGAATTTGACGCCCTAAATCAATTCAACGGTGGGACAAACATTTAAGAAACCCTAATTAAACGTTTGGCCCATCCCTGACAAACACACTGAAAAAGCTGATCCCTGCAGCCTGCAAGACTGAATCCTAGTAGATCTGAAGATGCAATCCTGCTGCAGTCTGTTTCTCCAGCATGTACCCTGCAGAGAACATGCTGCTGAAGCAGGCCCCTGCAGCCAGCGGAACTGCACCCCACACTCACCAGCTGATGAGTAGAAGGTTCAATCCTGATCAGTTAGACTGTGTGCATGCTGGAAACAGGCATACAGCTCCTCCTTTCTGCCTGAAACATGCCCTTGACAGCTCTGGATTGCTCCAGGAGGCCTAAGCCGGGGCTGTCTCCACCCAACTCTGACAAAGTCCTGGTTCCCCCCAAATTAGCTCAATTCAGTTTTGGCTTCAGTCTAAATTCGTGTATAATACCTCAGAGTAAACACTCTGGATGAAGGTAAACTATTGAACCTACCCTGCATATGGTTTTGCTGGATATCATCCTCTGTTTAGGTGGGGTGGAACTTGTAGCACCCTATATATACCCTTTTAGGAGCCACCAGCCAACAATAAACCAATGCTTCAACTTTAAAAGGCCCAGGAAAGCCTCACCTTCTCAAGAAAAGATGCAATTTTTGCAGTTATATCCTCCATATGTGAAATGATGTGCTCAAGAACAAAATCATAATAAGGCTACACACAGTTCTGTTCTCTGCTAAAAGCAAGTCAAAATTAAAGCTTGTTCATAGCAGCTTTCTCCATCCCACCCACACAGTCTTCCAGTCTTCAGCACTGCTGCAAAATACAAATAGGCTGGCTGAACCCAATATTATTGGGCATGCTTCTGAATTAATTCCTCCCAGAAAGCTACAAGAAGAAAATTTTAGCTGTGTGATAAATTAAGTTGCCAAATGAAATGGATTAGCAATCAGCGATGGGCTGTCAGATCAATTTCAGATTTAAATTCCTCCTCTCCCCTCACCTGTTCATTAAGCTACAGATTCATGGCAACCTCAGTGACTGATTATGCATTAACAATCTGTTCATGTGGGGCGGTGGGGCTCAGTTAGTCAACAGACTATACTAACACGTTCATTTAAACATAATTCACGGCTAATATATTCAGTTCACAATTCCAACATATAAATACCCTACCTCTACCTTGAAGTTTAATTTTTGGCTTGACAAGGCATGAGATGCTTCATAAAATTAGGATGCAGCTAAGCAAACCAGAAAGTCCCTGAAGGTCAACAGAAGCAGTGGGAAGAGTCAAGCAGTAAAACTTCATGCTCTATGTAGTTTAAAACAATAAGTTGACACTATGCTTTTAAGATGGCAATGTTTCCTAAACCTTTTTCTTTTCTATAAGTGATCTTTACAAAGAGCAACTGGAATTATTTTTTCACATGAAACGTAAAGAACACATTTTGCCGTATAGGATACAGATCTTGTATTCAGTAGGTACTGCAATATGATATGATAGTTGCTTCAAATGTGTTTCTGGCAGCATTCTTAAAATTCTGTACCAGTAACTAATCTGTTTTTACTTCTACATGAGAAATGAATCACCATCAGTTAAGTAAATTAAAAGCTACATTATACTTTTCAACAGATTTACCAGCCACAAAGCCTCATTTCTTGCAAACTCTGTTGCCTAACCATAGCAATTTATCTTTATTGTCTCAGTTAAATGACACCAACACAGAAGCTAGTAAGGAAGCAGGACTAAAATTACTGATGTCCACCCCAAAGTTGAGAAAGTTTAGACAGGTATAAATAAACATGGTAGGGAAAATGTTTTTCCTGTTTTTAGGCATGAACTTCCATTAAGGGAAGTACAAGAGAAACATTAGTTCTAGCATGGCACAGTCATACCTTGGGTTACAGATGCTTCAGGTTGCGTTTTTTCGGGTTGCGGACCCCCGAAACCCGGACGTACTGGAACGGGTTACTTCCAGGTTTCGGCAGTCGTGCACGCGCAGAAGCACTAAATCACGCTTTGCGCAGAAGCACCGAATCGCAACCCACGCATGCGCAGACACACCGCTGCAGGTTGCAGACATGCATCCCGCATTGATCATGTTCGCAACCCGAGCGTCCACTGTATAAATTTCATCAGTTTGATACTACCTTACTCTGATACTCAAGGCCAGATTACAGAGCAAGGAATACTTTGTAGCAGAGTCTTACAATTATGTCCACAAAGGCTATTAGTCTGTCACAAACATTTTCTGCTTTCTGAGCGCTGGCAGAGGAGGGATGGAGAGCCAAGGCCAACATCAGCAGCAGGCATCCTGGAGCACCTGCCAAGGAGGACTCAGCACATTGGCAAGACCTACTGCTGATACCTGCCCTACACCCTCCCTACACACTCCTCTATTTTATTTTTCTTGCTAGACATTCCAAGCAGCAGCACATGGCAGGATTTAGCAAGCATTTTGATGTTCCATGCACCCCACTGGAGGATTGTGAGAAATTAAGACAGTAGCACACAGCTACCAAGCTCTGCTATTGCCTACCTCCACTGCCAGGTAAGCTCAGTAACACAATCAACCAGGGAGGGGGCCCATAAGAGAGCACTTTGCCAGGGCTAACTCAAACCTGAAGCCAACCTTCTCGAGAGTTTTGTCGTTCCTGCTATGGCATGCTGCACTTCTACATAAAGTGTGAAGAAAGGGTCTTCCCTTATCTGGCAGCCTACTTGCTAGGCACAGAGAACAGACAACACTACAGCCCTCCTTGGCTCCCTTACTCTCCCGCATACAACTCCTTGTCACCTATGCCCGCCAGATGAGTGATTAAATACATGGATGTTCTAGTACAGTGATATAAGTTAGCAACTGCCCCACCCCGTTCCACCCTATTCCAGGTCCTAAACAACCAGCCTGTTGGCAGTTCGACACCATTGAACATGTGCAAAATGACTGCTGCCTATACTCAGAATATTCAAGGGAAGACATGATGAGTAGAGAAAATTTACAGCAGGACGAAAACTGTTGTTATTTTTATCAATTAGCAAAAGCAAGCTTTTGGCAAAGCAATAGGGACCCTACAAAATCATTATTGTCCTCATCCCCAATTTGCTCCTTTCCCCACAGCATTCTCTTTTCCTTTGTTCCACTCTTTTTAGTGTTACATCGGCTGACCATTTTCAGTTACTGTGAAGTAGGGCCAAACTACATACTGACCAGAGTTACTCCAAAGTCAGCACTAGGACTGAAAACAACAACAACAAATCTTTATTACAGTCACAGACCAGCATAAAAGGGTGGGATGCAGTCATTTAAAATCTGAAAAGCATTTTGGAAAGCTAAAAGGTATTAAAACAGAAGGTGAATATAAAAGTCTCTAAGAATTTAAAAGAAGCTAAAAGAAGGGATAGGAGCATTGGGCAGGTGTGGAAGAGCATAAAAGGTTGATATATAAAAGACATTAACTATTAATTTATAGAGCACTCTGATATGTTCATTAAATCTAGTTTGTGGCACAGGTCATCCTCCGACGAATTTTGAGCTCTGCTGTGCAGAATCTAGCAATATTGCATGTTGTAGCAGGATTGGTATCTGAGAGCAACAAGGAGGTATAGAATTGCCCTGTGCGCCCCGGGTACTTGTGAAGTAGTGGGGAAATCAGGCTAAGACTAGGACTGAAAATGAGGGTGGGGGAGGAATGTTCATGCAAAAGGGAAGTGAGGGAAGAAAGCAATGCAATATTACATCCTTACTGAACCACTGTGAAGATGCAAGAAAACAAAGTTGAAGCAATTTCAATTCTCCTGTTGGCTTTGGACCAGCTTGTACAATCCCTGCATTGCACATCTTACATGCAAGCAGCAAAATGAAATCTCATTTAAAAGGCCTTATTTATCCAGCATCATCCTATGACCCTCACACCATCCCCATATACAAAATTTAACTTCCGTTGCAAATAATGTGATCAGAATCAATCATAAGAGATGTACACTACATTAACATTACATTAACAGCTTCAAACAGATATGATTTGCAAGGCATCACAGAAACTGACACCATCATTTTCTTGATGCTTTTGCAGGGATGATGTACCCTGTGATTCTACCAAACCCACCCAATACTGTATTGGTGATAGAATTTAGTACCCTGAGAATGTCAACTGTCATTAAAGATCAGACTAGGAAATTTCTAGAGGCTCTATGGATGCAGTAAACCAATAAACCCTTGCTTCATGTTTCAGACCACATGTAATTATTAGGATTATTATAAAGCACTTATTACAATGCAGGAGATTCAAACATAAACCCTCTTCAGAATATTGATAGAAAAAATCATTGGTGGTTCAGTAGTAGAATTCATGCATGCCATGTGGGAGGCCCAGGTTTCATTCCCACCC